GATGTAACTTGTTTTCTAATTCTCTCAGCTTCAGTTGCTATCTGTCGTGAACGTTGTTTTATAGACGCTAGAGAATAAGTATGAATGTACTGTTTCTCACAGATGTAACGTTTGTTTTCCAACCATAAGAAATTGCTCTTAACCTCTCTGTTTCTTGCAGTTTAAAGGTGCATATAATATGCTTGGCACTTTGAAGAATTTCAATTTGACACCAAACTCTAGCATGTACAATTCTATATTGGCAGGATATTTCCGGGAGGTAATATCTTAAACTCTCTTTTACAAGTACTCTCCTTTGATTCCTTTAAGTTTTAACCATTAATGTTGAAATCTTGATGGAAACAAGATTGCTGCAACACATAAAAAAGCATGTCTTGTATATAAGTTGTATTGTAGTAATAATCTTAGTCAGGTAGCTATTGTAATTCAGTTGATATATCTTAAGATCATGGTGTTTATCTCTGAAATTATTTGCAAACTTTTGACTGATGAATAGTCATTTCTGTGTGCTCCATATTGTCTCTTAAGTCGTTTTTTTCTGAGATTTTTGTTCACGTTTTGTAGAAAAAAGTGAACAGCGCCTTAATGGTCCTCAAGGAAATGAAAGAAGCTGACGTTAAACCGGATTCCGTAACTTTTAGTTATCTTATAAACTATTGTGACCAGGAGGAGACTATTGCAGAGGTAACTGACTTCCATATTTTACCTCGTTCAAGTCTCTCTTGTTGTGCTGTTAGTTGTTAGTTGGAGTCTGAGAGAAATGTAATCCGTAATTTGTGTCTTCTTATTCAAAGTATTATGAGGAGATGAAGCAAGCAGGAGTTCAAGCTACTAAGCACGTTTACATGTCCCTTATAAAAGCATATGCATCATGCAGACAGTTTGAGAAGGCAAATCAGGTAAGCATGTGTACTATAAGTTCTTTTCAAAAAGTTCTCAAATGATATACTGTATTTTCATAATTTAGTGTAAGAGCTCAAGCTTTGTTCTTACGTTAGGTGCTCATGGACGTACCGGCTAAGGATCGCAATGAGCTGAGAAGTGTCCTTGTATCTGCTCTGGCATCAAATGGAAAAATAACAGATGCCTTAAGTATTTATGAAGATTTGAAGGAAGATGGCTGTCTCGTAGAGCCAAAAACCATTATATCTCTCATTGTAAGTTTCTACTTTAAGCATATGCTTTTTTTCTCGTATACTAGCTGACTAATTACGTATTACAATGACCACAAATTATCTTCCTGTAGGAAAACTCGGATTCAAACGAAGAGTTGTCAACTTTGGTTCAACTCGCTGATGAGCTGCATGAATATAAATATTGGATAGAAGGTTTCTTCAAAATTCTCGTGTTTGGTGTCCGCAACAATAACTCAAGGTATCTTGCGTGCTCTGTGTTTAGCTCACCTGGACTCCATCATTATTAATCATCTCATGCTTCATCCAACTTTTCTTTTGTAGCTCTATTCTTGATTTGTTGAAGCAGACGAAAAACCACTTGTCGGATGATGACATCGCTGTGGAATATTGGTTTGAAGAGGTCTGTGCTCTTTGTTCTTATTGTTAACTGATATATTATAACCTCGAGATGTCTTAAAATGTAGAAACAGAAAATTCTTTGGATGATTATGTTGTGTGTCATAATTTTCTTAACTCTTTTTCATCTCATTGTTTGAAATCAGGTGTTTAGGTCAATAGCGGAAACAGAGCCTAGTGATGTGAAGCTAGGCCTGGACTTGGTGAGCTTCATGAAGGAAGAACTTGGGTTGTGTCCTTCAAGAAAATGTCTAGATTTTCTTCTACATGCTTGTGTCAATGCCAAGGATAAGCAGAGCGCTTTAGCGGTATGGAAAGAGTACCAGTTTGCAGAACTTCCTTACAATGTCCTCACCTATCTAAGGCAAGTCCTCTTTTATCTCATCTCAATGATAAGAGTGATTCTGCAATGGACAAGGTTTATATAACCGAGCTAACTCATATTTGATATTCATAAACATATCTAAGAAAGTGTTTCTTTGCTACTGGTAAAAGAGTGATGTTATAATATGGCTTCTTGGTTTTATGGTATTTCAGGATGTATCAGGTTCTATTAGCTGCAGGAGATTCCAAAAGTGCAAAGGCAATAGTATCAGAGATTCCTATTGATGATAGAGATGTTAAGTGTATAATTAAACAAAGCTATGAAGTATTGACTCCGAAACCGAAAAAGAAAAAGTCTAAAAAGAAACGATTATCTCCCCAAGCAAAGTAGGATGATCTATTAGAGCCCCCACATTGTATGAGATTTTGTACAGGAATGAACACGATTGCCACTAGAAATGGCTAAGTTTTTCTTTTAATCTAACATTTATTGCAACCTTTAGACAGTCTTCAAGATTGCTGGACTTTGACACTCAGTGTCCTCACAGGTGAACGGAAAGGGTTTAGGAGAAACCGGATGAGACAATCTCCAAATCATCATCATCATCTTCACTTGCCATTATCGCCGGTTGCTTCGACTTCTGTTCATATGATTGACCTGGAGGATGCGAAACCGTGACAGCAACAAAGTCTTGTCCTTTGCACATCTCTGGTGGCCACTGAACATCAACAGTCTCAATAAAAGGTGAAAACTTTATCATCCTTGGACATCTCCTGGCTTGCTTCTCCTCCTCTTGAACCAGTAGCAAAGGATGCACCAAAGAAAGAGCTTTCATCACAGCAAACACAAGCCTAAGCTCTTCGAGTGTCGGGTTTCTAAACTGGAGCTCGCCAGAGGTCGTGCACCGGGCAACATCGATGACCGGAAACCGATCAGCTCCAGAGACTTCTAAAGACAGAGACTTGACCATTCTCTTGTTACAAGGAAGCATCAGTGACTCAACCTCATCAGTGATTCTTAAAACCTCAACATTAGGAGCTCTAGCCGTTTCAAATGAATCATCTGTCATTTTCAATGCATTGTTCATGGATCTATACATATAGATTGCTATATCACCACCATTCCCTCCTATGAACTGAACGCACTGAAAAGGCTGTCTCTTTCCTGACCAATCTGAGTCTTTTCCGACCCGGACACCGAACAGATGACCTGGTCTGAGCCTCTTCCATGGCTCACTTCTGTATAAAGAAGCTGATGCTCTAAAAATGGATTGGATAATGTTGGAAGATATACCTTCAACTTTCATCAGGCAAGCACCGGATCCAGGTCCTAGACCCGGACCTGATCCGAATTGGTCCTGAAACCTCCCAAACAAGTTCTTCAAATGCAAATCCATTCTTCAATGAAGAGTCAGATCTGAGTGAAGAAGAAAGAACTTTGAAGAAATCACTAAACCTGGAAACGAACTTGAATTTTAGAGTAGGAAGAAATATCAGTTTTTGTGTTTCACAAAGAGAAAATCTGAAATGATCATCTGAATTAAATCAACTTTACTAAAACTGAGTCAATGTTGTGGTATTTGGAAAAAAGGTAAAGAAGTTATTATACTTATCTTGTAAATGATTGGTAAAATTCACATCTCTTAATTCAATTCAAAAAGAAAACTTCATATTTACCCTCTCCACTTCATTTTTCTAAATTTATTCCCCGGGACAGAATTATTTTCAGTTTACTTTTCCATCAACATTGAAGAGAAGTAAATAGATTATTTGTGAAAGTGAAATAATTAATGATGTACTTGAGAGTCTTAAACAAAGCATAGTCCAACTAAAATCTAAAATCATACTTAGAGATCTCCAACCCCATGCTAAATATGACATATATGCTATTTTGCCATAATTTTTGCTCCAACCCAATTGCATATGCTATTGCAAAATAGCATCATGCTATTTTTGCTTCTATATTTGGCATGAGATTATGCAATATGCTATTTTGCCATTGAACTTTTTTATTTATAAAATAGTCCTTCAATTTGTAATTACTTTTAATTTAACAGTTTAATTATATTGATTATGATTTATTTAAATAAATAAACAATACTCATAACTTTTTCAAAATATAAATAATATTTATTTCATAGAAATATAAAAACATAACCATAATAAACTTAAAATTTTATTTTTAAAAATACTGAAATTCAAAAAACATAAAACAATAGGTTAAAATCTTTGTTTTCTATAATTTTTATGTAATATGATGTATTTTGTTTTAATATTATAATAATAAAAATATAATTCTGGTTGTTTTTGCAAAAAAAGAAAAACAAATGATTCACTTTGTAAAATTTGAAGAAATCAAGTAGTTTTAACAATTAATAATAAGTTGGAAAAAAATTATAGCATGATATATGCATGAGGGGTTGGAGAGAAACTCAATGCTATTGCTATATTTTTGCCATTTGCAATAACATATGGCATGAGGGGTTGGAGATGGTCTTATCTACCCAATGTGGGCTCTATGTCATAATTAATTAGTTGGTGGGACCCGAGTTAAGAACTTAGAAACAAAAGTTTGAATAAGCCAACAGAAGAAATAGTTTTACAACAACAAAACTGTATAAAGTCTGTTAAAACAAAGATGAAGAAATGAGAAAAACCAAAATGGAGTCCATTACATAAAAACAACCGAACAGAGTTCTTTAACTAGGGCACTGATGGAGTAGCTTCTTCTACTTCCATGTCACAATCTGCCTTCTTCTTGCCTTCTCCTTCAAACAAATTGGCAATAAAGCCACTCTTCGAAGCAGAGGGTTTAGGATCTATCTCCATACCGATGCCATTGTTGTTACTACCTTCTCCACTCATTACAGTCTTGTTCCCAAGCTCTAACTGAAGCTCCTCCGGCACTTTCTCTTTCTCCACCATAAGACCAAACCCACTAGTCTCACCGGAAGGTTTCTGTGGCTCTGTAGTCTCTTTCTGTGCCGACAAGACAAGACTCGGTGGATCAGTCACCACCGTCGTCTCTGGAGTTGGAAAAAACTCCACCAGACGAGTCGCAGCTTCTCCTTCTTTCTCCTTCTCCTTTGCTTGAGCCGCAAGTTCTTTGCCATTACTCTCCTGTGACAACAAAGTCAAAGCTCGAGCAGATTCAGAAATGTCCATGTCGGTGACAGCAGCATCTTCCATTGGTTGATCATTAGGAGGAGGAGGAGCAGATTGATGAACATCATCAGTTTGGTTCTTGGTTTCTTCGTCTCTTCCGAACATTTTGACAGTAGGAGCCAAGTCGTTCTCTGGAGTTATCGGAGTGACTTTCCCAGGCACGAACACGACACCTCTCAGTTTGATGTCACTGTCGTTAACCTTGACGTTGAGGAGATACCCTGCGTCGAAAGATCCTTCGACCACACCAGAAACCATCTGACCGACCAAGTTCACGTCCACCGGTTTTGGAGTCACTTGAAGAGTTTCTTGTTGAGTAGCAAAGGTTTCATCTTTCCGCGGACGACCTCTCTTTCTCTTCGCCAAGAGATCACTAGCAACGGGAGGAGGTGCGCTTGAGGAGGCTAGGTTCAACGGATTCATTCTACAGAAGAACAACAAAAACACAAACAAGAAAAATGTGATTCTAATTAGTTTCATATTAATTATCATATTTTAATGGAAAAAAAAAGTCATTTAAATCATTAACTTCAGCGAGGCACGGAATAGTTGAAACTTTTATGAGACAGATAAAAATACATTCTGGAAAAAGGATAAAGTTCATTTCACAAAATAAGAAATTAGACTTAATTAATACCATAAGAGCAGTCTAAACAGAAAACGGAGACAATTGCACAAAGACAGGTGTGAACTATTTATATTGCAATTCTAGGACTTAATTCATACTCCATATATTATGGAACTGATTTTAAACCAAATCAGAACGTAGTAGAAACCTAAGGATCAAGACATTCATGGAATCTCAAAATTCAGGATAACATAGTTTTGTAATTCAAAAAGAAATCAATTAAGATTTAGATCCTTGAACAGAGGAGAAAAAAATAACAGATCAACCTATGTATAGCAATAGAAATAACAGAAGAATTTCATTTCCAAAAATATTGACGAAATCCTTTAACAAAAAAAAAATGAATCGAAAATATTAAAACAAATCTGAATCCAACCATCGAGAACGTTGATCCTCAGTAAAATCGAGAACGTAAAAATCAAAAAATAAAATACATTTTCTAGAGGGAACACAGTTTTTTGGCATTATAGAAGAAAAATAATGATTACTACTTTGAATTACCTCTCGACCAAGCGACGCAAACCAAACGAAATGGTGCTTCGAAAAATTGGAGAATTCTCTGTTTTTTCTCAAAATAAGATCAGAAACATAAACGTTTGTGTGTGAGAGTGTGTGTTTCTGTTCTTCTTCGGCAACCTCCTCCTTCTGCTTCTTCTTCTTCTTCTTCTTCTCTTCAAGTTTTGGTCACTTGCGGTTTCTGTGGCATTTTGGTTCGTACCTTCTCGTTCCAATTTATAAGCAACCTAATATGGGCTTTTAATGGGCTATTTGTCTATTTCACATTTTTATTTTGTTTATTAATTAAATTTCAAAATAAAATTCTCATTTTCATTTAATTTGGTTCCTAATTTTCTCAATTTTGTATAATATATACCAAAATTCATTTCAATAATTAAAAAGATGACAAAACTAAAATTCAAAGAAATAAAAATAATGCCAAAAGCACGACGGTTAGAAATATCCATTCAACTATCGTTTTATGAGCTTGCCAAATAAAAAACAGTATTTTTCGTGACTTTGGAAATATCACAAATTAGTCATACATCCAGAGAATTTACTATAAAATTGTCTTAAATTCGGCTTTTCTCATTAATATAGTTTTATTTCTTCTTCTTTTCTTTTTTATTACTTCAACAGATTCAGTAAAATGTTGCTTAAAATATATTTTCACAAGTTGAAAAGAAAAACTAGAATAACTAACATACTTTAACTAATTTTTTTCCTTAAGTAATATGATACCATTTTTCCCCTATCTTGTGTATATTTTTCCCCATTATACAATTTAGTTTATGGTGTTTATTATCATGTCAGTTTTATTAGAACAATTATATCTTTTAACAAAGACAAAAATCTAAACCAACAATGTCAAATTCTATATTTCAAACGTGGAAACTGCCAGTAGTTTTTGTTCGTAACGGTCAAATAAATAAATAAAAACAAACTACTATTAACAATAAAAACAAAGTGTGGATTCTTCACGTTTTACTACCAAACTACAGAAAAGAAAAACGAGTTACTTAATATTACAACTTTGACGGTTTTAGAAACAGCCTTTAAACTTTTTTTCTCCAAAATTGTGTTTTTGTACCTTTTGTATAAGTGTTTAAGGTGACTTTAGAAAGAAAGAAAAAATCATGGTTTGGCTTGAATTTTTAAAATCATGAAAATATGGCTTTAGAGTAAAATAATTAATTTTGTTTTTATTCACCTTGAGTAACTTAAAACTCTTTTTTATTCTTATGAACTTTATCACAAACTTTTGTTTATCAATTAGTTATTATCTCATCTAAAAGATTCTCGACAAAGCTATCTGCGGAGTTGCCAATTTGCATAACCAAAAACATAATAGTCATTGCATTATCCTTGAATGTTTTCTTGATTAGACGAGTCTTATTGTGGAAAAAATGAGTTTTTTTTTTTTTTTTTTTTTTTTTAATTTTTTAAATGAGTTTCAACAATTTAATTAATTTCTTGTTGCCAGTCAGATTTTTATTAATGTACATCAAAATCACGACATAAAAAAATCAACAATAAAAGCCTAAAACCAAGCGGCCCCAAGGACACTTTGATCAACACTTAAACAGTTAAAAAAAATGATTTGAATTTGAACATCGGACGGTGCAAAATTGGCTCTCCCACATAATCACTATAGACTAGTCAAATGATGTTGAAGTATACAACAAACAACCAAAACAACAGGGAGTGTCTATAAGCTCTATCTCGTAATGCATAACCAACTTCTCTCAGACTCATTGTTTTGGCATGTGATCGGAACGTGCCATGACCCTTTCTCCGATTCCTGAACAATATCCAAACAAACAAAGATAACACGGATTCATCAGATACTTACAAAAGAAAAACACAAAATTCAACTTTGAGATTGTAAGAAACCTGGATCACAACTGAGAAAGGAGGTGGCATTTCAAGCTTTAGACAGCCTTTCACAAATGTATACCGAACCTGAACCAACGCAACAAACCAAAACTTATCTTTTCAGTTTAGTGTGACAAAAACATCAAACTATATACTTCACACAGATTAGATTGGTAAAAAACATCAAACCATGTAACTACCTGATGCCTTTCTTTCCATTTCTGAAAAAAACTGTTACTTAATAGTTCAAAAATGTGATCTCTCATCTCATCGTTTGTCACAAGCAAACACTTGAGTTTAGCAGTAGCATAGAGCCAATACCTGAAATCAAATCAAATAAAAACCAAGATTGAGTAACCAAGCCAAACCAAACCAAACCAAACCAAACATGTTAAGAGTGATTTTTTTCTTAAAGAAGCTTAAGTCAGTCCAAACATACCAATCATCATTAGAACCTGGTGGAGTCGTGTATAGGACATTGTTATTAATCCACTCTTCCACCACATTCCGGTGATTAGGGTTCTCTAAAAGCGCACTGACCCGTTTCTTGTGCAAGAGAATTAGCGGCCATTTCTTGTTACCACTTTTGTTGTAAAGCTCCTTCACTACAGTTTCAAGCTGCTCTTTTTCACCCATGTGGATTGTGTCAGTATTCACAGAGAGTGTAGTAAAAGAAAAATGCAAATAAAGAAAAAAATCAATGAGACCTGTGGTAGACTGAATCCACCATCTGCAAAATTTTGTTGGTAGAGCCCAATATTTGCTCCATCTAATATAGCTTCATAATCTCCATGCTTTTCAAGCCACTCCTGCCAAAATAGTTTACAAAAACATTGACATTTGAATGCAGAATATATGATATTCAAGATAAATACGTGCTTCTTTTCTCTCTAACCTGAAACTCGCTGAAGTCCGGCATTGGCTCACATGAATTCATCTTCGCCTTTCTCTCCATAGCCAAAGCCACCAAAGAATTCACAAAATTCTCAGTCTCTACCTCATTGGTATCTACACAAGCCAAATGCTCACCGCAGCTCAAACACTTCCCTGCAGGACTAACAAAACCTTTCTTCACAATCCATTTGCCTTCTCCAACCCACCCAAGACCATGCCACCCACCTCCATTCTTCAAAATAGCTTCTCTAAGCAACTCAGTATCAGAACCAATCCCACTACTGCTAACCTCGCTAGCTTTCTCTCTACAGAACCATTCCTCTATAACTTTCGAAGTCTCTTCACAAACGCAGCCAACACATTCCCTTAACTTATGCAAATATCTATAAACCTTGTTTTCTCGTCCTGTGGCAACGCTTACCTTCAGCAGAGCCGAGATCTCCACCTCCTCCAACACAATGCCTGAAGCATCCATGTGCTCTTCCACTTCGTAACTCTTTTCAGCATCCAATCTCTCACAGAAACAGAGCAAAGCCGGAGAATAAGTTCTCAGACGAGGAACTGATACGCCGCCAACAGCAACAATGTCTTTCACAACCTTGAAAGCATAATCACCATCACCTTTAGCAGCAGCTAGTCGTGCCACTGAAGTGACGGATGCCTCATTAGGACTTACCCCGGAACTCACCATACGGTCAAAAATCTGGAAGCCACGGTCAATGGCAAGGGTCTGAAGAGATGGGTCACTAATGGACGCAGAGCAGAGGTAAAGAAGGCTCTGGAAGTGTTGCAGGCCAAGGCGGACGTCACTGGAAACGACAGCTTCGTCAAAAAGAGCTAACGCAGCAGAGAGGTCCTTGGACTTGGAACAGGAATGGAGACTGATAAGGAGACTCTTTTCTGTGTTGTGGCTTCCTTTCCTCTTCTTGTTCGGTTTCGAAGGGCTTTCGTCGTGGTGGTGGCGAGAACGGCGCTGGTCAGCGGCAGCCATGGAATAGTATATGCGTGACTTAGCTGCACAATATCTCAAAGTCGCAAGCTTTCCACTGGAGGATGAAACCCAAACCCTGACAATGAAAAACCAATTAACAACATTCCCAAAGTCAATCTCTTTCGCAGTGATTGATTTGACCCTCTTCAAAGAGTGGCTAGAAGGAATAAAAAGGTTAGAGCTTTTTGTAGCTTTCCTTCATATATCTAAGTCACATACTAGGCTAGTTCTTCAAAGAAGATAGATTCACTAATTTGTCAACCGAATACATAACTTCCATCTCTTAATACTATCATATAACAGTGCATTGTAGCTGATAGTAAAAGAGACAAGCAGAACAATCAAAGTTTCAAATTTAAACAAAGTGTAGATTGCAATTTGAAACTGTGATCAGTTCTGGACCTCCCTGGCATATTCAAGACCTAGTTTTTCAAGATCTATTCTAGAATTCAAGGCTAATCCGATCTGATCCTTTTTTTTTTTCAGATTGCATGCAAAGAAGAGATATTGGATAGGAACACTCATAGCTGGTTCTGACTTCTGAGGGTGTGAGGGGACGAATAATTCCGATTAAATCCTAACTTAATGTAGTCTATAATCGAACAGGAAAAAAGTAGGCTTAATCAATCTCTGTGCTTTACGATCGATACAAAACCTCGGAAAAAAATCAGAAAACTTTTAGGTTCGAAACCGGAAACCGAATGCGAAAGCAGTCAAGGTACAATTGGTCTATTAGAACAATCGGAAAAAAGGCTAACCTGCGAGGAATGAATCGATAGAGTGAGCGAGTTTGAGAGAGAGAAGGCGGCACGGCGCTGAGCAAGGAAGAAGAAGGCAGCAGTGAAGGTTTTGCTATTCAATTTGTTTTGTCATTCATAAAAAAATAATAATAATAATAATAATAAGTGAATTCATTTTTTATTTACAAAAACAACAGACGTCAAAAAAAAATACAAAAACGAAATTAAAAGTTTTTAATACAAAAAAATAAAGAACAATAATAAGATTACAAAATTGAAAGTTTTTAATTTTTTATTGTACCATTCCTCCATGAGATTTACACTTCTTCTGAGTAATAATATGATGTAGTTTGATGTTAACAAAAAAAAAAAAGAACAATACCCTAAAATGGCACCAAATGAAAAGTATTTTGGACCTACATAACATCAGTTTTACATGCCCTAATTTCACTTTGTGGTGGACATTGGGTTAGAATTTTGCTCCATCGATTTGATGATACTTCTCGTCCTAGTACGAAGACCCAATGGCCAATGCTCTTACATGTATTCTGTTAACACCGTTCGATCTTCCTCGTCCATGCGTCCTGAAACTGTGCAAACCACTTTACATCGATCATGAACAGGATTGTGTCCGATAGTAAGACTACAAGTTGCCTATTAGTCGGAAACTTTGGGAAAAAGAAAATCTATACTTTGGGAGTATAATCTGATTCCTTAATTATGGAAATAATTAATTTTTCCTGAATTCTTCTTTTAATCATAAACTTTTTTTATATGTTTGATAGGATACTAATTTATTATTTCTATCGAACACTAATATTTACGTCCGAATTTTATGACTTAGTTAGATATAGACATGTAGTATGTTGTGTGTATAATACATGTGCGTGAACCAACTGAAATAGTGGATAGTCCACATGTAATGCTCATATAGTCAAATAAAGTAAAATCCACACATGTGTGCCTATATATGTACAGTGACCACCCCTCATGGTATTACCTAAATTTAGTCACACAAAAGACGATTTTTATTTAGTTCCAACACAAAACTGCTATGATGAAGATTCCAAACGAATACACAAAGATAGCGAAAGAAGATCCTACTGAGATAATCCACAGAAGAGCTCAGCTTCTGATCCACAAGATTCTCCAACGATCTGACCCAGATATATCAAGACAGAAACAGAAGAGAACTTCTACGGTCAAAACGCCGTTGTTTAGAGTGGTGGGAATAAGAATGAAGATTGGGAAGAAGCTGAGGAAGCTAAGGAAGGGTTGTGTAATGGCAGACAAACAACATGGAGATCTTGTGCAACGTGTTCTCAAATCTCTTAAACGTTATTTCTTATGTTCCTCTTCTCGAAACGTCTCTGATCTTCCTCTATTCGCTCTTCATGTTTGAAACAATTCTTAACATACCATATATAATCATATACTGAATAAAAAAACTCATCAATGGTGTATTATCAATTTTTCTTAGTAGTATAAAAACTATATGAACCGTGTGGGCTACTCATAATATACAAATTAACTGATTATCAAAAGTACGGATCTCAATTCGCATCTTATGACATGTTTTAGTTGTTCAACCTAGCTATGAAAATATAATACTGGTCCAATCAAACCAAAACATGACTGTTTGACATAGAAGTTTTATTGGTTTTTAACCAGATTTCTTGACTCAGAATCCAACCTATCATTAATCCACCATCTCTTAAACATTAATTTAGACCAGTCCATAGCAAATCAGTTGTAAACAATCATATCTTAACAATACCTCAAACTTCGAATCCACCAACAGATAAAATGTTCAATATTGGGTAGACTATCACTGAACTATCATGCACTAGAACATTATGAATATATGTTTTTCTAACCAAGCGATGGTGATTTACTTGTTAGAGCAGAAATTAGCACAATTTCCTGAGCCCGTCACAATTAATAATACTATGTAAGCCCGGCCCGTTCCACTTCCACCTCCTCAAAGAAAAGGAAGTACTTGGAGAAAAAGACTACATCCAAGAAAAATAGAAGGAGATCAACGCCAAAGAAGAATATTTCCAAAAGAAATATGGAAGAATATCTTGAAGAAGCCAACCTCCTCTCCATATAAATAGAAGACCCCCTATTCCTTGAAGACCATTCAGAATCATTCATAATTCTCCACAATCACTGAGAGCAAAGAGGCAAAACCCTAGTTATAATTCGTCCTTTGTTCTTAGCTTCTCTATTCTTTTCGTATTCGTCTCGTCAACCTTTTCGTCGAGACGAATCACCCCTTGTACCATCTTTGTCTTTGGTTGATCTAATAAAGAGTCTCTCCTAAACCTCACATCTCTTATCTTACTATTATTGTGTGATTTTGAGATCTAACAATTGGCGCCCACCGTGGGGCTGGAGAAAAAACTCTGAAAAAAGTCAATCAAGGTTCAAAGATGGCACCTCCAGCTGATGATCCCAGCATCAGAACAGGCGGACTGCAAAGTCAACTCGGCGCAGATGGAAACCCCATCGTCCATCCCGTCGAAGTCGACGCGACCAACGGTCACGTCAACCCTCCGCCGCCACCGGTTCCTGACGTAGAAGCTCCCGTCACGACCGCCGCGTTAACCGCCGCCATGCAAGGCTTTGCTGCTCAAATTGCTTCTCAATTCGCCGAGATGCAAGCTCAGCAGCAAAAGTACAACGACAAGATCGACTCCCTCCACGTCACCAGCGACGGACGAGTCATCCCGACGGGACGAACTCTCTTCCAGACGCCGACAAGAAGCACCGCCGCGACTGGCTCCAATGCCGCGACGAATGGTGAGAAAGACACCGACCCGGAAGTGGCCAAGCTGCGCCGCGACCTCGACGCAATCAGCTCCAAAGTGCACGACGCCTATCAGCTCGTCACCCGAGATTGCCAAAATCCTCGCCGAGACGAAAAGGAGTCCTTTCACTCGTCGCATCGCCGCGATACCTCTAAAGGATCAAACGGCCCTCCGTCTTCAGTTCTACAACAATGGTGACGATCCTCGAAACTGGCTAAGAAACTTCGAGATGGCCATGAGAAGGCAAAATATGCCTCCCCCGAAGAACAAGACGCAAATTACTGTCAAGTGTTCATCGAGCACATGAACAAAGACGCGACGAGCTGGTTTTCGAACCTTCCCGCTGATGTACTCATATTTTACATCATTTAGACATATAATTTCATACATATTTGCATGTTCTTGACATTCATTTCACTCATTTTAGGTCAATTACTTCCATTGTATACATTCATACCATTTAGAGCATACATTGCATACATTCTGCATTTGGAGTTGCATTTAGGTGCTTTTGAGGAGTTTGGAGCTAGTATGGAGAGGTTGGAGATTAAAAGAATACTCAGGAGTTCGCAACCAGGATGTCAAACAGGTTCAGAAACCTGTTTCTCGCCTTTCAGCTGAGTGTTGACCAAGAGGACGAGTTGACCCGCGTTGACTGAGCTTTGACCACTATCCAGCTATACCAAATGAAGACCAAAACGCAAAGTTTGGAGCCAAGACCATTTGGGGAAGGAAGAAGTCAAGCTAAATGAGTTGACCAAGGGTTTTGGAGTCTCCAAGTATAAATAGTTTTAAAGTTTATTATTTTAGCATCTTGTAATTTCCCTTTCAAGAACACCAAAAACAGCCTCTTTAGGGTTCTAAACAATTTGTTAGATCCCAAGTTCGTTTTTAATCAAATCAAGTTCTTTCTTCTACAATCTTCTTATCTTATCTCTCTAATCATGATTAGGACCCTTTCCCCATGGGATTTGGTGTTCTAAGCATGATTAGTGAGTAAACCCCTTTGGTCTTAGAGGATGGGATAGATTAGGGATTTTAGAGTTTGATTTTGATGTTTAGAGGTTTAATTTCGTTTTACAATCCTTCCTTGTTGGGTTTTCTTAATGCTAGGTCTCTAATGATAATTTAGATCTAGGTTTTAAACATTTCCCACATCAAAAGTGTTTGGAGAAATGTTGGACCAACCAACAAGGAGATTTGCTTGTCTAGCTCATGATAGTGAATGTTTAGAGAGCTTATTGGTTTAGGAGAATTGTTGCTTATTGCTGGCTTGAATCCTTTCCACTAATGAAAGTTAGCTCTTGGATTGGGTTCTTGCTTTGTGATTTTCACCATGAAAATGGGTTAATCTTGCTCTTGAATTCTCTTCCTAGGATTGTTTGTCTAAACATCATTATCAACCTCTAAGATTCTCTAATCAATTACCCCATCCTAAGACCTCTTTCTTCCTTTGAATTCATCTACTTGCTTGAGCATTTTCGTTTCTTGCTTAGTTCTTGATTTCAAATTGCTTAAACTCTGTTTATTGCCTTTATTTCTGTCATTTTTACTGTTCATTTCGGATTTCACAAAACCAAATCTTTTTGCTCTTGACTTGAGAAGTTTCTTGTATTCTTTCTTGTCCCAATCACTCTTCAAAGTGGATTGATAACCTTAAACTATGCTGCAATGATATGAGCAGGGATTAAGGGTTTGAAACACCTAAAAATCTTGTTTTCACCCGCCGAGACCATCGACAGCTTCGACGATCTCAGCACGGCATTCATGAAACATTTTGGCATGTTCATGTCAAAAGGCAGCACCAATCTTTTCACTATGGCACAGGGAAAAGATGAGTCTCTTCGCGAGTTCGTCGAGAGATTCAAAACAGCAGCAGCTGAGCACTCAGACATCCCTGACGCGATAGGAATCAAGGCTTTCGAAAACGGGCTTTGGTTCGAATCAAAGTTGAAAGAGAGTCTATGCTCGACGAACCCGCAACCCTCAAGGACGCTTTGCACAGGTCCCAAAAGTATGTCTCGTTGAAGAAAGCAAGGCGCACCACTCAAAGATTCATGGAACGATGAAAGAGTCGTCTCGTCAAGAGAATAAAAGGAAACCTTCTCTCGACGAACAACGACGCGACGAAAAAGACAACGACGATAAGAGCTATTGTCGCTTCCATAGACGATACGGTCATGCTACGGAAACTTGTAGGCATGTCGTGAGCTTGATACAAGAGTACAACAATACTCCGCAAAGCCAAGACGATGCTGAACGCCGCGACCATAATCGACAAGCTGCAAACCAGCGCCGACGCCGAGATGAGATGACGCCGAGAAGAACGCGCCTGCATCACTCCCTCACCAGATGATCTGCCTCCGCCGCCGAAACGGCAAGTCCGATAAACATCTCGGCATCAAACCGGTCTCAAGCACGAGACCGAGAAAACGAACTACGAATGGCTTGATCCCGGCATGGGTACGTAGGCAGCCTTTCCAAAGGTTCAGCTATACCTCCAATAAAATTCTATAATCCGTCTGACGAGATGAGCATTGTAAAATTTTATTCACCTTCAAAGGTACGTCGACGTTCTGGCCAAACCTCTCGACAACACCGATCTCGTCATCACACGAGATCGAGCGGTCTCGTCATCACACGAGCCCGATAAAACCAACCGGTTTCGTCGAAGCACGATCCCGAGAAAACAAGTGTTGCCGAAGCGCGACCCCAACCGGTTTCGTCGAAGCACGATCCCGAGAAAACAAGTGTTGCCGAAGCGCGACCCCAACCGGTTTCGTCGAAGCACGATCCCGAGAAAACAAGTGTTGCCGAAGCGCGACCCCAACCGGTTTCGTCGAAGCACGATCCCGAGAAAACAAGTGTTGCCGAAGCGCACCCCAACCGGTTTCGTCGAAGCACGATCCCGAGAAAACAGTGTTCCGAAGCGCGACCCCAACCGATCTCGTCATCATATACGAAATCGAGCGGTCTCGTCATCACACGAGCCCGACAAGACACCGATCTCGTCATCATATACGAAATCGAGCGGTCTCGTCATCACACGAGCCCGACAAGACACCGATCTCGTCATCATATACGAAATCGAGCGGTCTCGTCATCACACGAGCCCGAGAAGACACCGATCTCGTCATCATATACGAGATCGAGCGGTCTCGTCATCACACGAGCCCGATAAAACCAATCTCGTCGAAGCTCGAATCCGAGAAAAATCGTCACATCAATCTATTCTCCTTGACGAGACAAAAGAGTCATCTCGTCAAGTCCGAGAGAAATTATCAAAAGCACATTCTATTTGCGGACAAGATTACGTCACTGTACTCTTTTCCCTTCTTATGGTTTTTATCCCATAGGGTTTTTCCATATCAAGGTTTTAACGAGGCAGTACGGATCTAAAGTCAATAACGCAACGCAGCATCACGTCAGCGCAGCATCGGCATCGCGTCGGCATCACATAGTTATTATTAATTGCTCTTGAGCTCCTCTTTTATACATGAAGTTCGCCGAGATTAAATTGCATTTATCTCGCCAAACTGGGGGGACTTATTGTTAGAGCAGAAATTAGCACAATTTCCCTGAGCCCGTCACAATTAATAATACTATGTAAGCCCGGCCCGCTTCCACTTCCACCTCCTCAAAGAAAAGGAAGTACTTGGAGAAAAAGACTACATCCAAGAAAAATAGAAGGAGATCAACGCCAAAGAAGAATATTTCCAAAAGAAATATGGAAGAATATCTTGAAGAAGCCAACCTCCTCTCCATATAAATAGAAGACCCCCCTATTCCTTGAAGACCATTCAGAATCATCCAGAAATTATCCACAATCACTGAGAGCAAAGAGGCAAAACCCTAGTTATAATTCGTCCTTTGTTCTTAGTTTCTCTATTCTTTTCGTATTCGTCTCGTCACGCTTTTCGTCGAGACGAATCACCCCTTGTACCATCTTTGTCTTTGGTTGATCTAATAAAGAGTTTCTCCTAAACCTCACATCTCTTATCTTACTATTATTGTGTGATTTTGAGATCTAACATTACTTACTAATCACTGTTGTATTTGTCAAGACATTACGTATTTTTGTCATTGTGAATTAGTTTTGGGCATATATAAAATTTAGTTTACATATTATGTGAAAGGGAAATGGTAATGTGAAATAGTGATATTTCTAATGTGTAAGATTCTGAACATGGCCCCAGTCCATTGAACCTATCCTACAAATTTATTAAAGTCGGTGAGGCTTTAATGATTTAGCAAGTGTTTTATTTCCTCCCGTTGACTAGCTTTATGTTTCTTTGCGTAGGAAGTTGACTATTATAATTTCGTTACATAATTAAGTACGATCACTGATTAGATTTCTGACCTTCCCTATCGATGTTAATAGCGGCACGGCACTGACAACTTGTCTTGAGCTCCTCTTATGAATGCAATAATAGCTCGCATTTGTCTACTAGGTTTACATCTGACAGAAAAGGCGAACCACGATTGCCAACACAATTGTCTCTTAGTCAGAATGGTGTGTTTACACTTGAATCAAACTAAGTTTACTAATTAAACCGAATTAGAACACACAGCAAACCAAAATTAATCACAAATTAAAGTAAAAGAAACCATATATAAGAATACAACCATGTCACATGCATGCACTTGGTAGCCTAATTTAACTTACCACGTGTCACTACAAGAAATAAGGTAGATAGCATCACTTATTTAATGTCAAAAATTTAAATGATTCTAATTAGCATCATTTATTAAAGATTGACATTAAATTTATGATTTTGCATCACTTAAAATAATTGATATCGATATTAACTTAATTAACATCAATTAAATTAAAAATGATACAAGTGAATATTGATTTACATCATTTTTTAAAAACTGACACAAATATATGTGTTTACATCATTTACATAACTGAAGCATTTTCTCAGTATTACTAGCATCAATAATAAATGATGTTAATATTTACTTCAGTTATAAAAAGTGATGCAAACAAAATTTTGAGTAAACAACTATTTGTCCCACATCGCTAAACAAAGATGAAGGATAGTAGTTTGCTCATCTATATAATAACTTCACCCATATAATTTTTATTTTTATATAAGTTAAATCATAAATATGTATTTACATATATTATTTATAATAATAATTACAAAAATATTAATAATTTCGAATTTAGTATTTTATTGAAAATAATACGAAATTTAAAATTTACATAATTTTTAGTGTCACTTATTTTTAATTGATATAATAATATTATCAACTAAAATATATTATTAATTAAATATATATAATATCATAACCGACATATAACATCATTTATATTAAATGATTCAATTGTTTATTTCATTTATATTAAGTGATACAAATGTTTACCTCATTTACTATAAATGATACTATACATTAACATCATTTGCAAAAATGATGAAACTAGTTGCATCATTTGTTTTTAGCATCACAAAGCATATAGAGTCACCACTTTCAGAATCATTTATATAAATGATGCAAATTCATTTATATCAATCAATAAATGATATAAACTAAGAAAATAAATGATATACACACCTAATTTCTTGTAGTGTGTGCACCTATTACACATCAAAATTCCAAGATAAATAATTAATTAAACACTCTTCAAAAATAATACTATAATAGATCAATCATCCATCAGATACAGCCAAAAATGTTTTATTTCTAAGAAAAAGGTTATTTTTTTCCAATATATGTAAGTGCGTTTTGACATTTTGCAAACAAATTAGTAAATTAATTAGCCATACCACTATACATCTATAAAACCATGTGACACTTAAAAAATTACATATATTTCATGAATTTTAACAGAGTATTGTGACAAAAAAAAAATTACATTGGAAATTTAAAAGAATACTTATTTTGAAGCAGAAAAAAAATCTTATAAGACAATAGAAAATAGCGCAACTATCATTATTGCACTCATTCCTATTATCATTCCTCTTATATTATTTTTTCCTCTTATGCACCACCATTTGCACTCTTATACAGTATTAGAATGGAGAGTAACTATCAGATGTTCTAGATACCATGCTTGTTTTCTTGTCTTATACTTTTGTCTTTCACACCTCCGGGCTTTTTATAACCTGATTTTGTAAAATGTCAGTATTTAAATATAGTATATATATATATATTGTTAATTATTTATAAAAAAATTTACGTTTTACAAAATCCATTACTAGTTCTCGAGAGGTTCCTTCTTTTCGTCCCACATATCCAAACGTTTTCTCGCCTTTTCCACCTGAATCATTAACAATATAATTCCGACATAGCTTTTGAGATCAGATCCAGCTATTACTAAATGATTTTTTCAGTCAGTATGATCTATGACTTAATTGCATGTCATGTTACCTCCTTGTCCCAGTCTGTTCGATACGTGACATAAAGTAAGATGAGGGTTTGCATGAGGGTACCTCCAATCATCCCGGTCCATATTCCCTATAACCAAATTCACATAATAAAAGTTACTTATAATCTTTGACTAAAAAAGAGCACATATCATACAGAATTTTTAAGAAAAACGAACCTTGGCTTGAAAATCGAAAGTGAAGCCGAGAATACAACCAATGGGAATACCAACGATATAGTAACAGCCAACATTCACATATGCCACGTACGTCTGCCATCCACATCCCACTGCCACTCCTGCCAAACAAAATGCCAAACCGATATTAAAATTTGGTCTGGTTTGGCTACAAGATACACCGGTTTTCAGTTACATGCACGTATATACCGGACAAGACGGGTTGGATTCCATTGAGTATGACTGTGACGGCGAGAAAGGGACAAAGTTCGGAGACGGCTTTAGCTACGTTAACGTCTGCCGTGAAAATGTAGCTGATGTGATCACGTGAAGCCATCACGGCGATTGCCTCCACGAAGGAGATAACGAAGGAAACAAAAGTCACCATCCATGTAGAGAAAAACACCGATTTCGGATTTCCTGCTCCAAGCTCATTACTAACCCGAACACTGTCACATGCATTTAAAAAATATGAATTATTTCGAATAATGTTTAATGATTTGGAAAAAAAAACAAAAACAAATAAATGCTGACCTTGCAGCTGCATTGAAGCCGACGGAGACCATGAATGATATTAATGAAATCGACATACTGCAACAATAAAGTGTTAGGTCCAACTGTTACGACAATGTACACAAAATGCATAGTTCACGTGTTTTTCTCAAATGTTCTATTTTGGGGGTAGATAATTTAGTCGTAATTGTATCTAATAACTATGAACCAAAAAACAGCTCAAATATTTCATGGAAAACCAAGATATTAATTAATGGGCTTACCATATGGCGAGAGAATCTAGAGTGATAGCTGGATCTTTGAGCAAACCAGCGAGTAGAACCAGAATCTGAGAATACCACAATTCCACACAGATCATAACAGCAGAGCCAGCAGAGAATTTAAAGAAGCCCCAAAGACCTTGAAACGATTTCCAGCGAAGACCAGTCCACGTGTGTCTGAACCTTGGACTAGCTGTAATGTACAAACACTGTGCCACAACTATGAACCACCAACAGATAGTTAGGACAAAAGCGATTCCCATTAGGCCCTGACCCATTACATGAACGGTGATCCACGTCAGCAAGACTTGGAGGAGGAGGGCGGCGCCTGAGATGTACGCGCTAGGGAACACCACGCTTTGTGCCTGGAGGAACTTCTGTGCCGTGAAGTTTAAGGCAAATGCAAAGATTTGAGGAATGAGTCCGACAATGTACAAGGAACCTGCGTACGACACCGTTTTTGGCTCGCCTAATAGGAGCAGAATCGGGTAAGAGAAAGTGTATAAAACTGTAAATGGCAAGCCAACTAGAGCGAGGACAATGGTCGCTTTCTGGAGATAGATCCCAAGCATGTCGTAGCGGTTGGCTCCATACGCTTGTCCACATAGTGTCTCCACTGCACTGCCCATGCCCAACTGTATAAAAAAGAAGTAAAAATTTACGATGTTAAAAAAACACTTGGAAAATCGTTACAAGTTCTAATCGACCAAAGGAAAATAAATAAAGAAAAGACGTTAGACGTTATTAATAAGAAAGTGAAAGATTATTATATATCTTTCGTATCCCAATTTTTGTTTTTAAACACATATTCGGCTTACCACAGTACGTGGTTTCATTTGGTTCTAACATTATAGTTTATGGAAGTAGCTGCAGAGAAGTCATATGGAGAAGTAAGTAGTGGAAACTTGAGTCGATGCATAGGTAAAACAGTGATCATGTACGTGGTTTCATTTGGTTCTAACATTATAGTTTATGGAAGTAGCTGCATAAACATAATTTTTTGTTTGAATCCTTAAAAAAGACTTGAGAGTAATATTGAACGCTTAATAAACAGTTATTATTATGTTTCGCTGATATTTCGTGAATAAGATTAGCATCTCATATCAAACAAAGAACTGTTTAAGCAATAGTTTGTTCTATTTCTAATTTTGGTGGGAATCAACGAAAATTCCGGGGAATAAAATCGTACAGGCTGTAGTGTCGTTAAGACATACGACCTTAACCAAATAATGTTTTTTTGTCATTTTGTCAGCTTTTTTTGTTTTTTTTAGCAAAGTCGTTTTTGTCAGCTTTTAGGTTAATATCAGGCTATCAGCTAATCATCTTGATGGCCACTGAGAGGGCCGTGCTTCACGTTTTGAGAATAGAAACCTTGGCCGCTACAACTTTTAGAAACATATAAGGACCTACTTTTAGTACTGTAATAGTATAAATTTTGTTCTATTAGTCCTTAATTTTCAATGGACTACCATAACTTTTCAATGTTAACTTTCATTTCTTTTTATATAAACGATTGTTTTCTTAATACATTTGATTTAAGTGAAATAAAACCGTATGATTGTAGATCAAGTTTTCTACTTTCTTGAGACAATGTTTTGAAAATTTTATTATATATTAAAAAATCATTCAATATATATATGTATAAACTAAAGTCAAAAAGTGATGATAATTTAATGGCACATGTACCAATTATGAATAGTCTCTAATCCAGAATGTACCAATTCTGAAGATTCTCTAATCCATGGGGATTGGGAATGAAGCATAAAATATTTTTGTACATAAAATTTGTAAGAAAATATAAGAAGCCCGTTGATGTGTTACATTTGTAGAGAACTAGTTGATAGATGTTATCCAAATTCATAGATCGCTTATCAATGCTGCTGATGATTCCAATTTTAATTACATTTGTTGAAAGAATAGTTTTTTTTTTTCTAAATGAAGTTGATAATTTTTAGTTTCGTGAATATCCGTAGAAAGATCGTGTGATGTTAGCTATCTTATTTATATAATATATAAAAAGTTAGTAAGAGAAAATAATTGTGAAAGTTTGGTTAGCCATTTTATAGGAAAACGAAAAGAAAATCCATGTTTTAAAAAGTAATATTTTAGGTGGCACACACAAAAAAGGTAATATTTTAGGTGGCACACACAAAAAAAGTAATATCTTGTGTGCTAGTTTTGTAGTTCCTGATTTGCTCGGGTTATGGGAAAATGGTGTGTTGTATTTTTCTGTAGACGCTTTTGAATTTGTAAGGTGGTGGCATTTTGTTTTTAATTGCCTCCGGCCGCAATAACGTTAGTTAGCACGGCCCCATTGATCGTGCCACTGGCCACTGCTACGTTTAACTTAAATATCAAATGCAGACGGAAGAAAAACAGATATTAATATTAATTATATGTCAGAGTGTAACGTGAAACCTACCATGAGGCCATAGACAAGACTGAAGAAGCTGTTTCCGATGGAAGCTGCGGCAAGTTCTTGACCTCCTAGATGTCCGGCGAAGATACGAGCCGAGATATTCATTCCGACGTTGACTAAGTAGACAAGAATCGCCGGAAGTGCCAACCTGAAAAGTAGTTTCATCTCTATGAACGCCCCTAAGTACACGCGCCTCAGGTACGGAATGCTAGTCTCCGTTAAAATGCTCTCAAGTCCGCTATCGCTCAGAGATTTCCACTCCGAGTCTGTCGGATCCACCAACGTTTGCCGCAGATCGGTTCTCTCCATTGGTTTGTTATTGTTTAAAATTTTGTATAACAAGTTTTACGCGAGAAGGGTTGTTTATATAATGACTGGAGGAGTGGAGTTGGGTGGAGATATGATGATCAGTGGGATTTGTTTTTTTATTTGTATTTGTTGTCAGAGATCTCACAATGAAGATAAGAAAATCAGACATACATTGGGGTTTGAAACACGTGGGTTGGATCCCAACTTAATCAGAAATTTGTTTTTAATACCAAACTAAAAAAACAAAACTATATGTGAATTCGCCAAATATCACACATTCACACTACACAATTGTAACCGCCTTTTAATTTATTCCTCATTTTCTTTGTACCTTTTTTTTTTATAAATATTTTATTTGTACCATTTACAAGTAGGGTTTAGTGTTTAGTTAAGTGAATTTCACATCAGTTTTTAACACCCTCATTTTCTTTTTCATTCATTATTCTCTAAAGTATTTGTCGAGGGTTTTTAGTTAAAGTATAAAAATTATCGAAAAGAGAAAGAAAGAAAAATTAAATGAACATAACAAAAAATTGGGACCGATTGGTCAAACTCACGCCAATAAATGTTTATCTGTAACATTATGCTTAGTGGTGTGATATAGTATGATGCATTTTGAATTTACTAGTAGTTGAAAGTTTTATTTTGAAAGTCATTTCTTTGGCAGAGTTCGACTCTTTTCACTATGATTTCAGTAGTTTGTAGCCATTGGTTGACGCCTTAGAGGCAAAAATATATAGATTTCTATGAATTTTGAAATTTAGTCTAGAATCCGGCGTGAGATTTTTTATGCCTCGAAGTCTAATTAGTCACATATATAAAAATTTGACATTCTAGAAATACGCATATATGTAGGTGACCGTTTTAAATTATGTTCTTGCCATAATGTGACTGAGATTTTTATGCCGTGTCTATAATAAATTTTCCATTTGATATAAAAACTCATAATTTAATATCAATTTTTTTGTGATGCGCAAGTTAATAAAAGCTAACGTGGTTTATTAGAGAACCAATATTTACATACGAAACAAATGTGGTCCCTAGTTTTGGGTACGACCGATAAGTAAGTAGATCATGGGTCTGGTCCAATCTATTTAGTGAAGACAAGCTAATTATTTTTTTGTTGCGTACATAGTTAAGCTATTCGATGCGGTTGTCAAAGAAATTAATTTTCAATTTTGCCCTACAAATTAATGATTTCTCTAACTATGTACCTATCAAATACATTCGAACCCCATCAGAAGCTAATATCGATTTCTTTCCCTATCAAAAGAGATTTGAAGAAATGGAGGATGTTTATGGGAGTGTGGTTTAAAATTTTGAAGAGATGAATGAGATTAGAAGAATTTTTCTCGAGTGGATATAAGGACAAACATAAGACGCATGTTGTCTTAATTTGGCGGATGAACAAAACATGTGTTTTACCATGAGGTGGTACGGTACGAGTGATGTTCGTCGTCCTGGATCATCGATCACGCTTTTAATGCCATGTGTAGTTTTGTTGATGAAATGAACTAAAAATAGGTTTGATATAATGAGCAAACCTTGAGTATTTTTGCTTATCATTAGTTCGATCGATCTTTTAACTCCTCAGCGTTGGATTTTTTTGTAAACGAAAATTCACCTTTACTGAATAGTTCAACGTTAAGTCTTTCTCAACAGTATTGCAACAAAGTGAACACAAACATACAAAAATAATCAAAGATGTATATAAAGAATATGTGGTTGATTTTTTTTTTTTTTTTTGAACAAAGAATATGTGGTTGATTCATTGTCGAAAATGATGTAACAAAGTGAATTGATGACAAAGAAAAGACTCAATTTTAGTTTGGTGCCAAAATCTAATACAAAGACAGTATGAGAGAAGCCTGAGGAGGAGAAACATGTTGATCATTTTACTATTGTGTTTCTTCCTAATGTGTAATTTGGCATTCAGAGCCGTCCTAACTTTAACCGCGGGAGGAGATTAGTAGAAAAATAAATACAAGTTAGCATCTACGTACGTACACACACCATTTTCGTATAACAAGGGCAATAAAAAAAACTAAGAAACAAGCACAAAAAATACTTCTTCTTAAGCATTTTTCTTTTTGCCTATGAAATCGTTAACCAAGTTTTCAAAATCATCTCTTCTAACTAACTCTTTATGTATTTGATCCATAATTCTGATGGAGAAATAACAATAGTGGTGATTTGAAACTTTGGACAAAAACCTTAAGCAAGGAAGCAACATTACCTATGGACACATCAAATAATACTCATTCCGTGCTTAATATACAATGTTTTGGGGTTTTCACATAAAGAAAAAAACGTTTATTGTTTAACAAATTAATCCATTATTTTTTCATATATTTAGGAACACAAAAAAAAAACTAAAACATTATAATTGATGCAGTAGGCGAGGGATTCTTTAGTTGTTCACCAAGTACTGCTTCGTAATGTTTTTAAATGTTGTGGCTGTATACGGCTTTGTTTGGCATGTACAGTTTACAACAGTTCAACTAATTTTTAATTTTTTGGAAGCAGCTAAACTATGACGTCGAATATTTATATTATGCTTTCTGTTTTTTTTTTTTTTTTTTTTTCGGGAAATGCTGCGTGAAAAAAATATAGTAAATAGATTTGTTTTATATTAAAACCACAAAAGGTTAAAATCAGAAGGATCTTCGTTTCAAAACTTGTTTTTCTTTTCGTTTTGCTCTTCACACTCTTCCCACTTGCTCTATATACCTGCATGCATTTTTGTATTGTAATCTGTTGGTATAAATTAATTAGATATTTAAATCTAAGTGTTAGCGATTTTTGAAAATAAACTACTTTTTCTTTTATAAAACCCATTATGCCATTACCCTATTAATTTTGAAGAGACTCCTTTTTATAGTCCCACATATCCAATCGCTTTCTCGCATTTTCCACCTGAATCATTGTATTGTAATAATCTTCAAAGCTTTGATACACCCTAATAAAAGATGATGTAAAGACAATATGATCATGTATCATTACCTCCTTATCCCAGTCTGTTCGATACGTGACATAAAGTAAGATGAGGGTTTGCATGAATGTACCTCCAATCATCCCGGTCCATATTCCCTACCAACCAAATTCACATAAAATGGTTTTATTAAAGATAACAAGCATACATTATACAGTATAATGTATTTAAATGTTTAAGAATAACCAACCTTGGCTTGAAAATCGAAAGTAAAACCGAGAATACAACCAACAGGAATACCAACAATATAGTAACAACCGATATTCACATATGCCACGTACGTCTGCCATCCACATCCCACTGCCACTCCTGCAAACAAAATACCAAACCGATACTAAAATTTGGTCTGGTTCGGCTGTAAGGTATACCGGTTTTATTTTGTGTTATCAGCAAATTCAATTACGTGCACGTATATACCGGACAAGACGGGTTGGATCCCATTGAGTATGATTGTGACGGCGAGAAAGGGACAAAGGTCAGAGACGGCCATTGCCACGTCAGCGTCGGACGTGAAAATGTAACTGATGTGATCACGTGACGCAATCACGGCGAATGCCTCTACGACGGATATTAGAAAGGAAACTGAAGTCGCCGTCCATGTCGAGAACAACGCGGATTTTGGATTTCTAGCTCCGAGCTCATTACTTGTCCGTACACTGTCATAGTTTTCTTTTTAATATTTCATTTTCAGCATACTATGTCTTCTTTTTTTGAAAATTAAACATTAACAATTTGAAGTCAGCATTGTTGGCTACTGATGTGATATTAGTTAAGAGTACAACTAACCTTGCAGCCGCATTGAAGCCGACCGATACCATGAAGGATATTGCTGAAATTGACATACTGTAACAAAACAAAGAAAAGTGAGACCCGTCAAGAAATTGAAATATTTATTGAAGAATCAAGATATTGATTAATTAATTAATTAACTCGTCACATTTGCACCCAAAAAAAAAAAAGATACGTATTGATTAATTACCAGATGGAGAGAGAATCTAGAGATATAGCAGGATCTTTGAGCAAACCGGCAAGAAGAACTAGAATCTGAGAATACCACATTTCCAAACAGATCATAACAGCTGAGCCAGCAGAGAGTTTAAAGAAGCTCCAAAGACCTTGGACCGATCTCCAACTTAGACCAGTCCACGTGTGTCTAAACCTTGGGCTAGTTGTAATGTATATAGTCTGTGCCACAACTATGAACCACCAAGAGATAGTCAGAACATAAGCGATTCCCATAAGGCCTAGGCCCATTATATTAACAGTGACCCACGTCAGTGAGATTTGGAGGAGGAGGGCGGCGCCTGAGATGTACGCGCTAGGGACCACCACACTTTGGGCCTGGAGAAACTTTTGGGCTGTGAAGTTGATGGCGTAGGCGAAGATCTGAGGGATGAGTCCGGCGATGTACAATGATGCCTTGTACGACACTGTTTTGGGCTCGCTTAATAAGAGTAAAATCGGGTACGAGAATGTGTATAGTATTGTCATGGGTAAACCAACTATAGCGAGAACGATCGTTGCTCTTTGGAGATAGACACCAAGCATATCGTAGCGATGGGCTCCATATGCTTGTCCACATAGTGTCTCCACTGCACTTCCCATACCTAACTGTATAAAAAATTTAAATTAAATTAAAAATATAAACGCAAATGCTAAACCGCTTTAGACACGTTTCCAGTGGACATACTTTGTCGAGATTCTTATCTCGACGTTAAAACCAATATGTCTTATTTTTAACAATAAACTACAAAATAGTATGATAAGTGAATGTTTTGTATTGTTCTAAAGAGCTATAGCAACCAAACACATGCGTTTTGAGCAATATACACGTGTAAGCCTTGTCAGTAGCATTCATTCCACGATTCAACACCTTCATGGCTAAAGAAGAAGACGCCAACCAACGTCACCAAGCCCTCCACCGACAACAAGAGCCAAGAGTTCACCGCCGGAAGGAAGAGAGGAAATGGTGGTGGAGATTTTCCTCTCTTCCTTCCGGCGGCGAACTCTTATCTCATCGTTGTCGTACGAGTTTGTGAAGTGCAGTTTTTAAAAATCTTAAAACATCAACTAATCATCTCGTCATACCTTCAAGGCTTTGACGTTAAATATCAAATGCAGAACAAACAAAAAAAAAATTATTGGTAAATTAATTATATCACCGTGGAAAGTCAAAAGGTACCATGAGGCCATAGACGAGACTGAAGCAGCTGTTTCCGATGGACGCGGCTGCCAGTTCCTTACCGCCGATATGTCCGGCGAAAATACGAGCGGAAATACTCATTCCGCTGTTGACTAAATAGACAAGTATCGCCGGAAGTGCCAACCGGAAAAGCAGCTTCATCTCTATGCACGCGCCTAAGTACACGCGTCTCCAGTATGGAAGGCTGCTCTCCGTTAAAACACTCTCGAGTCCGACGTCAGTCAGAGGGTTTGGCTCCGAGCCCGCCGGATCCACCAATGGTCGCCGGATATCGGTTCTCTCCACTGTCTCAAGTGGTACACCCATAGGTTAATGTTTAAAGTTTTTAGCTTATTTTTAGGTTATAACTATTTTTAGGCGACAAGTGTTTGTTTATATAACGAAGACTCGAGAGAGAATATGGTGGAGATGAGATGAGGATCTCATGTGGGGTTTTAAATTAATCAAAATGTGTGCGTGCGTTTTCCTTTTCTTTTTGAAACTGAATGTGAAAACTAGAGAGCAAAACAGGATTATACAAGACAGTAATAAAGTCTCCCGAACAAAAAAAAATCTTTGTCTTCTCTTTTTTGTTGTTGTAATTTTAGTTTTTTTTTGTGACTTTTAGTGTATTTCTGAGTCATTTTAGAATCGGTTGATGGAAAATATGCCATCTACAAACAAACGAAATGATGACGCATCATGCATCTCAAAGACCATAGTGGAGACCATCTCAAACAAATTTTACAATGATGATCTTGATTGCTTTTTTTATCAAATACTTCATTTTAGTTGTTAATATTGCTAGAGTTAACTTTAACAATCAGATTTAGGATTAGATCTTTTCCATGTTCAGAAGATGTTCATAAAAATGCTAGGTTAGGGAGCTAATGGACTTTATTGGAATGCTTGTAAAAATCTTTAGCATATTGGGTTATTAAGGAAGCTGATTATTGGTACAGATATGGAGTCTTAATTAAGTTCTTCATATGCTCTAGGATCGTGGGGTCCAATATATTTTATCATCTGTTATACACCAAATTAGACTACGTAGAGTCCATGGCAAATCAGTTGTAAACAATCACATCTTAACACCACCTGAAACTGATACTAACATATATATATAACTATATTTGTAACATATAAATATAAAAGAAACCGACATTACAATTTCGACGTTAAACTTGACGGCTTTTGTTTAACTGAAACGAAAAAAGTTGGCGGACGATGTTAAGTCCCTTTACAAACAGACACGTGAAAAGCCTTGTTTTTCAGAGTGAGCTTCCGCTTCCTCCACACTTGGTTATCATTGATATAACTGCACTATGTTAGGATTAATTATTAAAATGAAATGATAGCTTTTTCTAAAAATTAATTAGTTTGTTCTGTTGAATTCATTACTTATTTAAGTTTGACGAGGCTCCTTCTTGTCGTCCCACATATCCAAACGTTTTCTCGCCTCTTCCACCTGAATCAGTAACAATGTAATTCCGAAATAGCTTTTGAAATCAAATCCAGCTTATTACTACTAATTATTTATTTATTTTATTTTTTGATAACCCAGGTGTCTGGCCCCTTAGGACCCAACTAGCACTGCATCCAACTAGATCTAATGTGGTCCTGGAAGCCAAACGGAAGCCATGTTAAATCCGCTATAGCCAGGAGTCGAACTTAGGTGGCGGTACTCACAGCTGTGAGCCCTTTACCACCAGGTCACGACCACCTGGTTTTATTACTACTATATGATTCTTCACTCAATATGATCTATGACTTAATTTCATGTTATGTTATATACCTCCTTATCCCAATCTGTTCGGTACGTGACATAAAGTAAGATGAGGGTTTGCATGAGGGTACCTCCAATCATCCCGGTCCATATTCCCTATAACCAAATTCACATAAAAACTTCGATAAAAAAGCATCAATTATACAGATTTTTATTATTAGTAAAAACGAACCTTGGCTTGAAAATCGAAAGTGAAGCCGAGAATACAACCAACGGGAATACCAACAATATAGTAACAACTAATATTCACATATGCAACGTATGTCTGCCATCCACATCCCACTGCCACTCCTGCGAAACAATACCAAACCGATATATCTTAAGTCCGGTTCGGTTAACGGACACCATCTTTCTCCGATTTTAACTAAAAACCAATTGCATCTACATACCGGACAAGACGGGTTGGATTCCGTTGAGTATGATTGTGACGGCGAGAAAAGGACAAAGTTCGGAGACGGCTTTAGCTACGTCAACGTCTGCGGTAAAAATGTAGCTGATGTAATCACGTGACGCAAGCATGGCGAGTGCCTCCGCGATGGAGATCACGAAGGAAACAGAAGTCGCCGTCCATGCAGAGAACATTGCCGATTTGGGATTTCCTGCTCCGAGCTCATTACTCGTCCGTACACTGACATAATTTTTTCGTTTTATATTTAATTTCAGCAATGTTGGTTAATGATTTGAAATGATTCGAAATAAGTTAATACTAACCTTACAGCTGCATTGAAGCCGATGGAGACCATGAAAGATAATACTGAAATTGACAAACTGTAACAAAAACTAAAATGTTAAACAAGTAAGGGAAGTTATTAAAATACTTAAAACCAACAAAAAAGTTATGAAAATACCCTAAATCTATCAAACTTAAGAAAGTAGTAGTATACGTTTTTTATAAATGTAAATCCTAAAAAGAAAAGAGAATAATTAAAACTAAAGTGAACTTTACCAGATGGAGAGAGAATCTAGAGATAGAGCAGGGTCTTTAAGCAATCCAGCAAGAAGAACCAGAATCTGCGAATACCATAGTTCCAGACAAATCATAACAGCAGAACCAGCAGAGAATTGAAAGAAGCTCCAAAGACCATGGAACGATCTCCAGCTAAGACCAGCCCACGTGTGTCTAAACCTCTGGTTAGTTGTAATATACAAAGTCTGGGCCACAACTATGAACCACCAAGAGATCGTTAGAACAGAGGCGATTCCCATAAGGCCAAGGTCCATTACGTAAACGGTGATCCACGTCAGCGATATCTGGAGGAGGAGGGCGGCGGCTGAGATGCACGCGCTAGGAACAACCACACTTTGGGCTTGGAGGAACTTTTGGGCTGTGAAGTTGACGGCGTAGGCGAAAATCTGAGGGATGAGTCCAGCGATGTACAACGATGCCATATACGATACCGTTTTGGGTTCACCTAATAGGAGTAGAAGCGGATACGAGAAGGTGTATAGTACTGTCATGGGCAAACCCACAAGAGCGAGAACGATCGTTGCTCTTTGGAGATAGACACCAAGCATGTCGTAGCGATGGGCGCCATAGGCTTGTCCACATAGAGTCTCCACTGCACTTCCCATACCCATCTGAATAAAAGATGATAAACTAAACTTAGTTATAAAGGTTTTTCTTTGAAAATATATAATGTTTTTCTGACCTCATATATAAAGTTAAAAAACTAATAAATTACCCGTTAAACTTAAGGTTCGAAAATGTTTACACAGTAAGTTTGGATATCCGATGTAAAATGTTTGTAATTACTTAGATAATATTATATTGTTAACTAAATGGTTAAAAAAACTAGGTAAGAAACAGGATATAGATTCAAAGCATATGTATCGGCTGCAATCCTTGACCAACTGGTAAAGAGTCATTCGTTGGTTTAATAAATGAATTTAAATAGTACGTATCATACTAATTTTTTTGTCAGGTACTTTTTGATTGGGACATGATGAAAATTTATAAAAGGATACACAAGTATAGACTACAGAGTCGTTAAATAGTAAAAGAAAAAATAAATACAAAAACAAATCTAGGATATGTAAAAGCATCGTTACAGGCTGTGTTATTCTTAAACAGATAGTGGCACTCTATTACTAGCCTATTACGTTAGTAATTACTGTCACCACCGTAAAGTTTAGATTATTACAAGTAATTAAATGTGTTATTCTTAAACAGATAGTGGCACTGAGTCACTGACACTCTATTTCACAGTTATTAATATTAATAAACCAACATGTCTCCACTCTCTACTATTGTACACATAAAAGACAAAACGTACCATGAGGCCATAGACGAGACTGAAGCAGCTGTTTCCGATGGACGCGGCGGCGAGTTCTTGACCGCCTAGATGTCCGGCGAAGATACGAGCGGAGATTCCCATTCCGCTGTTGACTAAATAGACAAGTATTGCCGGAAGTGCTAGCCGGAAAAGTAGTTTCACCTCTATGCATGCTCCTAAGTACATGCGCCTCCGGTAAGGAAGGCTGCCATCCGCTAACACGCTCTCGAGTCCGACGTCGTCCAGGGGTTTTTGCTCCACCAACGGTCGCCGGAGATCCGTTGTCTCATTTACCACAGCCATTAGGCTTCTATCAACTAAAAGCCAAGCAAAGGTTTGTTAAAGACTGAGGAGCATAATGAGTTGAGAAGTAAGGATTTGTGTGGGGTTTTCTGAAAAATGTGACCTTTTGTGTGTATAAATAGGGGTTGGACACCTAAGACCACCTATACTGGAAAGATGTACTTGAATCTCCCTCTCCTTTTTTTTTTTTTTTTTTTTAATACCTCATCTTAAATTTTTTAATTTCATTGGAGTTACTCATAATTGGAAATGAGATTTTTGAAAACAGGCGTCTGCTATTTTATTTTATATTAAATGGAAATGAGACTTTTGAAACCTACTCCGGTGGCTGGGATCCATAGAATAAACTAAAAAATTAGCGAAAGTTAATTTATACTAAAAAAACAGTATAAAACAAGATATTGTATAATTTATACTGAACACTAAAAAGTAATACTAAAATAAACAAATTGCATGTGAAATACATATATTACTAAATTAATTATACTTAAAGTTAAAAAGCAAACAAAAGGCTGTAACAATTTAGAGTTTTATAAACTACAAACTTTGGTAACATGTCTTTTGCTTTTTTTAGTTAAACTTTAATTCAGGGTTTGAGACGACCACCATTGTACTTTGTGTTATTAAGGGCGTGCTCTTGCGCCCTAGCCTCCCTTTCCCCAGCTTCACCAAATGGTTGATCCAGTGATTCTGCTGTTGAGCTGTTGGGGCAGCGGTGGACTGTTATAGTAGATTTAAAATATGCAAGTGAAAAATATCAAGAAAAATAGTTTGAAATGAAGTAAAAATGAGAAAAGTACAATGGTGGTCGTCTCAAACCCGTTCCATTTTTTATTTTTCATCTTCTTCAAAAAAAATGGAACGGGTTTGAGACGACCACCATTGTACTTTTCTCATTTTTACTTCATTTCAAACTATTTTTCTTGATATTTTGCACTTGCATATTTTAAATCTACTATAACAGTCCACCGCTGCCCCAACAGCTCAACAGCAGAATCACTGGATCAACCATTTGGTGAAGCTGGGGAAATGGAGGCTAGGGCGCAAGAGCACGCCCTTAATAACACACATGATTTCCACCTGATAGTTACCAAAATAAACAACCTTTACATATTTTTTGAGTTTTTGGCCGATTCTAGAGAAACTGCAGCGATTCCAGTTTGCCGAAAGATTTCCCTTGCGTCCAACTACGGCCATGTTTTAGAAGTTAGAACACATATAATTAAATACTTCAAATGTTTTTTTTTTTTTTTTTTTATACAATAGTTTGGTATTTCGTTTGGACTATTAACTAACTTCGGATATTGGCTCGTGTCTAGTATGCTATGACAATAACAAACCATCTACTGATCTAGATGCTCGTGTCTAGTATGATACTATTGGTTACTGGTACTAATCTGCTAGGACTAATAATACATCTGGAAATTATTAGAATTATCGGGATCTGTCGTCCAAGAATTCTCAATAAAAAGTGATTACATTTGTAATAAACTAACAAAAGCATGATTTAGTGGTTGAAGAGTTAGTGGCTTGCCTAATACAAAATCCTATTAAAAATAGTAGATGTAGTCAAAAAATCAGATTTTAGGTAGTTTTAAAATGTATACCTATGATCGGATAATATATTTTAGTCGATTGAGAGTAAATAAACTAATAGAAAAAACTAATAAACTACTATTTACTCTAATTCTTCACTTAACCATCAGTAAACCGTACACCGCCGACCTTGTAATTGATATAAAAAAAAGGTCAGATTCTATTTTTTGTTTGTGTAGTAACAAGATATAAAAGGTCAAATTCTTATGAATATTGAACTTTGTTTTTTTCTTTTAAACACAAGCGATTTTATACATCAGATTACGCCCTTGATCCCAGAAAAGATATAAGGGTCTATTTGGCTATCAGAGTCAGCGGCAATTTTATGTTTTATTTTTGTTTTAATGTTAAATTTTACTTTCTCTATTCTGAAATAAGTGGTCTTTTAAATTTATGCACACCTATTAAGAAATCATTTAATTTTCTATTTTATCAAAATAAAATATGTTTTATCATCGTCTACAAGAAAATTCAACCAATAAAATTTCAATTTACAGAATTTAAACGGTCAAAACAACAAAATACAATTAATTTTTGTATTAAAAAAATGTAACAACCATTTATTTATAAACAAAGTTTTGTTTTTAACGGATAGATTTTAATAATATTGAACAACTCAAGCTTTGATGACGCCTCTCTCTCTGAGGGCGATCCGAAGGGTGACATCTCTATCTTCTGTTCCAATTTCTAGTAGGAACTTATCACCGTAAAATTCAGTTCCTCATGTTCTTTTCTTCATCACGAGAAGCGGAGAACGATGGGTGATCTCAAATGAATTTTGTCTTCAACCGCATCTCTTCATCGACGGTTATTGTTTCGCCGTTATCATGCATTCCTTTCCGTTTTCAAATTAGTCATCACGGTTTTGCTGGTCCTCAATCCGATGATGATTCAGGAAACGCTTTGTGAGGCTACTCATCAAAAGTTCAATCCCGATTTCTTTCCATCTAGAATATAGATTGTTGAATTAGTGGTCGAAGTGAGATGTTGCATCGTCTAAATCTACTACGCATCAGAAATCTCTGACGTGGTCACTGAGCCCACGATCTATGACCAGTTTCTGGGATTTCGGAAAAGGTATTCAGATCTCTAACCCCAACACTAGTGAAATGGTATCGTAATCGTATCTTCATCTTCCTTCTCGTAATGGAAGAGAATCCGAAGGAGAAATTACATGATGAGATAATAGTGACTCGTTACTTATGGCCATTGAAGTACGCTATAGAGGGTTTAGATGTCAGCGCTAGAAGAAGATTGATTTCAGCAAAGGAAGACTCTTGTCAATTCTATTTTTTTTTTTTTTTTTTTTTTTTTTTTTTTTTTTTTTTTTTTTTTTTTTTTTTTTTTTTTTTTTTTTTTTTTTTTTTTTTTTTTTTTTTTTTTTTTTTTTTTTTTTTTTTTTTTTTATTTTTTTTTTTTTTTTTTTTTTTTTTTTTTTTTTTTTTTTTTTTTTTTTTTTTTTTTTTTTTTTTTTTTTTTTTTTTATCATATATAATTTTTTTTTTTTTTTTTTTTTTATGATTTTTTTTTTTTTTTTTTTTTTTTTTTTTTTTTTTTTTTTTTTTTTTTTTTTTTTTTTTTTTTTTTTTTTTTTTTTTTTTTTTTTTTTTTTTTTTTTTTTTTTTTTTTTTTTTTTTTTTTTTTTTTTTTTTTTTTTTTTTTTTTTTTTTTTTTTTTTTTTTTTTTTTTTTTTTTTTTTTTTTTTTTTTTTTTTTTTTTTTTTTTTTTTTTTTCTGTTTCCTTTGTTTTGATTTTGTTAACTTCCATTTTCTTTGAATTTGTTTTTTTTTATTCAATTTTCTTTGAATTTGATTTTGATGTTTTTGTAATTAAGACAAAACAAACTAAACTTTTATCAACTTAAAAGTAGAAAAACAGTTGAAAAAAAATGAAATTTCTTTTTAGTTTTTTTGAGAAAAAGATAAAAGATAGTGGAGCTTCTCTTGTCTTGAGTCTTGCTTGACCCCAAATAACAATCATACTCCCCCAAACGTTTATATGTATATTTAAAACAGGAAATTAAAAAATGCAATATAACATATAATAGCCACATGTTCATTTAGGCTTCTTTTAATTTTTTTAGTCAATGCGTACCACTTTACCTTACTTCTTTTCAACAATACCTTAAATAAAAAATATGCATGATCTTGACTTGTCGTCAACAAAAAGTAATGCCACTTGGCCATTACAATGTTAATAACAACCACCGATCTACAAATTACCAAAAGGTATCCATAATCTATACTGCATTTTGTATGGAGTATGAAACAAGAAAATTTAATCTTAATTTTTATAATGGCACTCACAAATTTTCAGGAGCTCCTCTTATAACTCGCGTGTGACTATTAGGTCTAACAGAAAAAGCGATCCACCATTGCGATTAAGGGATATATTGAACTTGAGATGATTTTGAATGGTTTGTATGGAAAAACGCAAAAATAATTCCTCAACTTTTTAAAATTAAACGTTTTATTCCTCAACTGTCGATTGCACGATTAAATCCTCAACATATAAATGATTGTTTGAAATTGAGTTTCACCTAATTAGGCGTTAACAACAACTATACGGGAAACAAGTATGTTAACTTGATAACCCCTTTTCGCCGAAGCATTATAACATAATTTCACTTCTTTCCGAAACCATGAACCCTAAATTACGATAGTGAGGAGATTTTGAAAAATTGAGACACCAAAAGCATGGTTCATGTTGGATTTAAAGTCCCGCGAATTGTTTCTCTCTTAGAATTGGGAGTTTATCCCTCTTCCCACCTCTTCTCCACATGGTTTTTACCATAATTTGTTTGGAATTTGTGATTTTCAACTTCGGAATCAGCTAAAATCTCATGTAATTTCCAGAATTTTGGTGAGTTCGTCGGCAATCGTTTTAGGATTTTTAATTTGGGGATTTTGTGTCGAAAAATATAATCCCGATGTCTAAAGGGTTTTTAAGTTAACAGACTTGTTTTCCCGTCCAATTGTCGTTAACACCTTGTTAGGTGAAATTAATGTTAAGAATTAATCGTGCAATTGATAGTTCGGGAATAAACGTTCAATTTGAAAAAGTTTGAGGAATTATTTATTCGTTTTCCATAATTTGTAATAGAATAACAAGGGTAGATACATCATCTCCGTTGTGGTAGTTAGTGTATTTTTCAATTTCAACTGTTGGTCCTTTGGTGACTCGAATCTCTGGAGAGGCTGCAAAATAATCTTTCTCGAGCTAGGAGAATTGAATGCAACTGGCCGAATGTACAATATACTAAAAAGGTTAAATAGTCTAGTTTTTTTTTTTTTTTTTATTATAAAGAAAGAGTAAGATTCATATTCTAGTCTTCTAATCATAATAGAAAACATACTTGCTTTTTATTCTTAATGATATAGGGTTTTCAGGTTATAAATACTAGGATAAGGATTGGTTAATTATTCATTCACACAATTAATAATAGAAACAGATCAATTCGGAAACCACTTCTAATAGATTGAGTAAATTAACCATCCATCCATCAGACTTAGCCAACAACATTTAACATTGTGAAAAGCTTCAAAAAAATGATCTTCGTATTGTTCCTTTTTTTTTTGTTGTTGTTGTCTCTGCCTTCCACTCCTAAACTTGCTATACCTGCATTCTTATTTTAGTAAACTGTATAGATTATTAGATTAATCAATCTAAATGTTAGATGTTTTCACAAATAAATAAATACATATTATATTAAATCCAATACCATTTATTTTTGAAGTGACTTCTTCTTATCATCCCACATATCCAATCGCTTTCTCGCTTTTTCCACCTGAATGATTGTATAATAAATAATCTTAAGAATTTTACTCACAAAATTAAATCTGAGATAAAGACAATATGATACTCCCCAATCTGTATCATATGACTTAATATGACGTAACATTACCTCTTTATCCCAATCTGTTCGATACGTGACGTAAAGTAAGATGAGGGTTTGCATGAGGGTACCTCCAATCATCCCCGTCCATATTCCCTATAACCAAATTCACATATAATTTCCTTTAATTAAAAAGATAAATACCAACAATATAGTAACAAAGCATATACTAATAATCTAATATACAAGAAAAAACGAACCTTGGCTTGAAAATCGAAAGTGAAGCCGAGAATACAACCAATGGGAATACCAACGATGTAGTAACAACCAACATTCACATATGCCACGTACGTCTGCCATCCACATCCCACCGCCACTCCTACACACAAAATGCCAAACCGATATTTATCTCGTTCGGTTGTAAGGTACACCGGTTTCAACGTAAAAAATCAATTGAACTTAATTATATACCGGACAAGACGGGTTGGATTCCGTTGAGTATGATTGTGACGGCGAGAAAAGGACAAAGATCAGAGACAGCTTTAGCTACGTCAGCGTCTGCCGTGAAAATGTAGCTGATGTGATCACGTGACGCAATCATGGCTAGTGCCTCTGCGACGGAGATCACGAAGGAAACAGAAGTCGCCGTCCATGTAGAGAACAATGCCGCTTTTGCATTTCCTGCTCCGAGCTCATTACTTGTCCGTACACTGCCATATTTTTTCAAGTTTTTAATTTCAGCAATGTTGGTTAACGATTTGGAATGAATCAAAAACTAATACTAACCTTACAGCTGCATTGAAGCCGACGGAGACCATGAAGGATAATGCGGAAATCGACATACTGCAACCAGACAAAATTAAAATGTTAAGAAAAAAAAATGTTAAACAAAAGTTATGAAAATACTTCAAAATTTATACCAAACTTAAGAAAGTAGTAGAATTTTATAAAAATTGACATAAATTTATAAGAAAAATCCTAAAATCTAAATTTCAATCATTAAAAACCAAACCATATATTCTAAAAACTAAACTGTAAAGCATCTAACCAAAAAAGTAAAATCTAAAAAAAATGTTCTAGTTTCTTAGTTTTAAAAGATGGCCTAACCTCGAACAATTCATACACCAAAAACATAAAAATCAAAATAATAATAATTAATGAGTGAACTTACCAGATGGAAAGAGAATCTAGAGAGAGAGCAGGATCTCTAAGCAAACCGGCAAGAAGAACTAGAATTTGAGAATACCACATTTCCAGACAGATCATAACAGCTGAGCCAGCAGAGAGTTTAAAGAAGCTCCAAAGACCTTGGACCGATCTCCAACTTAGACCAGTCCACGTGTGTCTAAACCTCGGGCTATTTGTAATATATACAGTCTGTGCCACAACTATGACCCACCATGAGATAGTCAGAACATAAGCGATTCCCATAAGACCCAGACCCATTACGTAAACGGTGATCCACGTCAGCGATATCTGGAGGAGGAGGGCGGCGGTGGAGATGTACGCGCTAGGGACCACCACGCTTTGGGCCTGGAGGAATTTTTGGGCCGTGAAGTTGACAGCATAAGCGAATATCTGAGGGATGAGTCCGGCGATGTACAAGGAACCCATGCACGATACCATTTTGGGCTCCCCTAATAGGAGTAGAATCGGATATGAGAATGTGTATAGTATTGTCATGGGCAAACCCACAAGAGCGAGGACAATCGTTGCTCTTTGGAGATAGACACCAAGCATATCATAGCGATGGGCTCCATAGGCTTGTCCACATAGTGTCTCTACTGCACTTCCCATACCCAACTGTATAATAATAGAAGTCAAAAAGCTTTTAAAATGTATAAAGGTTTTTTTTGACGTTATATATAAAAACAATACTTCCGTAGGGCATGTCACCCGTTTTCTCAAACAACGTATACACAGTAACAAATTTTTGCTTCCCCCAATAGTAATATAACTGTTCATTCACGAGGTTTTATAAAACTTAAGGAAAAATGATTGAACGCACTGCCCACGAGCAAATAACAAAGGTCACTTATACACTAAAATAACAAAAGAAGAACAAGAGCGATATATGTTTTGCAGAACAAAATCTTGAACGGTTACCATAAAAACAAAAAAAAAAAACAATAGAAAACAAACCTTGAAATATACGATGGTACAGAAAATATTGTGGTTCACATGGTTTTGTCAAGCAAAAGCTGCAAAACCATATTTAAAATCAACAACTATAAAGTCATTACACGTTATAATAGAAAAGTGAAAAATCGTAATCATTTTCTGACCAAAATATGAATTTAGTATTACCCAAAATCTGCTTACCATAGTGATTACTGATTTAATCAGGTCAGACTGTTGGGAAATGTGAATTATTAGTTCTAGGATAAATATGCATCGTTACATGCAGTAATTTAAACCAAATGTTGGCACTCTTAATGTCAACACGGTAAACGAGGGTAAGTTAATGGTGGCACTTGCACTCTGTGCCTACCACGTTAGCATTTTATTGTCAACACGGTAAAAGAAGGTAATTTTTATCTTAATATACTTCACCCACATCTATAAATTTGAGAAATAGCCACCTTTAAAGAGAAAAAAATTATCAATATTAATATCATTATGTCTCCACGACTCTGAACAGAAAAAGCCAACGTACCATGAGGCCGTAGACGAGACTGAAGCAGCTGTTTCCGATGGACGCGGCGGCGAGTTCTTGACTGCCGAGATGCCCGGCGAAGATACGAGCAGAGATGTTCATTCCGCTGTTGACTAAATAGACAAGTATTGCCGGAAGTGCTAACCGGAAAAGTAGTTTCATCTCTATGCACGCGCCTAAGTATAAGCGGCTCCGGTACGGAATGTTACTCTCGGTTAACACAGTCTCGAGTCCCACGTCCGCCGGAGTTTTTCGCTCCACCAACGGTAGCCCGAGATCGGTTGTCTCCGTCGTGTCATTTAATATTGCCATAAGGTTTTTAACAACAACAAAAAAACAAAGAAAAAGATTTGTGTATATTAGAGTGAGGAGGAAACTGATGAGTGGAGATGTAGGATTTATGTGGGGGTTTCCGAAGACTAAGATAATAATTAAAATGTAAGGCCTTTTGTATGTACAACTAGGGGTTCAACAGCTATATAGGTGTCTGCTTTTTTTAGTGTAAACTCATGGGTGGGACGATGGGATCCAATGAATAAATTAAAGAATAGTGTAATATTTTATATAAAACAATAGAATTTGGAATTTCTAATCTGACCACTCAAGTGTGTAAGAAAGATAAGTTTTTAAAAAATTTGAAGTTGTACAAATTAATTTAGATTAACCAGGATAATTTTTCTGATCCTAAATAGATTATACCCCTCCCTTATAGATTTCGAAAATGGGGTCGAACAGGAAGGAAAAATATATTTCAAAACGGGTCATGGGGATGGGCATAGTTCCCGGAAATCTGACGTGGTTTTTTATAGTTGTCCAGGACTTTATAGTTGGGTATGGGTACAAAGAGTTACACTTACACCATGGACAAGAGTACCAGAAAGTACAAACTTGGTGTTAGGGTAGGCTATTCGACTAGAATTATTTACACGTTCGTGTTACACGTCAAATACCGATCTATACCTTTTTTTTGGACAACACCGATCTATACCTTAAATTATCAGATAACTAATTACTCGCTTCCAACCATAAGAAAGTGGCCACTATGGACGAAAGTTATCAATCAAATCATTAAGGCCTATGTGGTTGAGTTGGTATGTATGGTCACTAATAAGTGTCAGACGCATGACGACGAGATTTGGTATGTCTAGTTCTTAGCTAAATTTGAATCTTAGCACGTGCCTGTTATCCTATATAACTCATTTGGTATAATACCATCCTATGAATTACTCCTAACAATACGATCGTGGTGATGGTTAGTACCGCAAACACTTTTTTTTAATAGGCTATGGTACAGCCGCAAATACTATTTTCTAATTTCTAATGGTTTATTTATTTGTTTTGGTAAAATTTGTACACTAGATTTCCTTTACCTTTTCAGTTTTTTTTTATCTTTGTTCAAAGTTGAAACGTTTGCAATATTTTTTTTTGTTGGCACTTCCAGTTTTGTGAAATGGCGCTTCTAAACACAGATATATTTATCAGAACTGTGTTTCTGAACGCTTTTATGCTTTTCCATGCAATATAGATTAAAACTTAAAAGTACCTAAAAAAAATCAGCAATCCAAATCAAAATACAAAATTAACATACGAAATATCAGAAGAATCGCAAAATCATTATATTACTAAATTTGCGGAATGAGACTCTTTTTCAGGGAGAGACAAGTTTTATTGTTTTAGTTTTTATCCAAAATAATTAGCCCTGGGCATTTCAGGACGGAAATCCCGTTCACACTCTTACCCATTTAAAATTTATCAAACTTTTCGGGAATGGGAATTTGCAATTTCCCGTTTGGGAACATTTATTTTATTCAAACGGGTAAGAGAAGGGTAAGGATTTTCCGATTTTCCCATTTAAAAAATAAAAAATTGAAATTATATATTTTTTTCTTAAATTATCCCATATTTTCCTCAATTTTCCCATAATTTCCCGTATTTTCCCATAATTTTCCGTATTTTCCCGTAATTTCCCATATTATCTTCAATTTTCCGGATTTTTTAAGACTTCGGGTATTATTTTCTGATTCCCAAATTTATCATTCCCTTCCCATTCCTGTGATTTCCCGTCCCGTTATAATAAGGGAATGCTTCGGGAATCATATTTGATTTCCCGAATTTCCCATTTTCGTCCCGTACCCGTCAATTCCTGTTCCAAAACTCGAAATGGCCAGGGCTAAAAATAATAGAGACAGCATTTGAAGATAATAAATATAATTCTCTAGATCTATGGACTATCGTGCTAAATAATGTGTATACATCTCTTAAATAGGACAATAGTTGTCTTTGACCAAAAAAAGAAGAAAATGATGATTTACATATAGAAGAAGAATTACAAGATTTGTCTCATTCACCAAATCTGTTGTATTTTTGTTTCATCTTGTTCCTAATTTCCTATTAGCCAAATAGGACTATAGGAGAAGCCAAAAACAAAAAGAGTTAGCCAACTAGGAATCCACTTAACTATGTATTATACAAATCTTGAAATAAAACACTGTTTAATTAACTTTAAATCATAAAAAGTGATTTCATAATAGCAAACCACAAAAGTTAGCCAACTAGGAATCCACTATGAATTAGCTTTAAAATGAACTACAAGGAGATTTGTGCACTACACACCAAGTATACAAGGAATAATCCATACATGGAATTTCTCATACCTACAATATAAACAAACCACCCCCCCCCCCACCACCCCCCAAAAAAAAAGAATTAAGAAGTAACAGTATCTAATGATGTATTGAGTACAACTTACAAGAGTGGTAAGTACTAAACAAGAAATGTGATTAACGAATTCATAACGATGATTATGAATGTTGATATATAATGGGTAAAGCAATTGATTATCATGTTTAATCGGTTGGTTTATGATGCAAAAGACTCATAATCAAACTCATTTCTAGCGCATGTACGTATAACACACACACAATAGTAATTCCTTTTCATGAGTTTTCAGTTACTCGACTTTTTTTTATTTTTTTTAATCATTGCTTACATGTACTTGTTTTCAAATTTCAACAAACGTTAAATAATTAATATGATAATATGCATGATCATGGCTTATCGTTAACAGAAAAAATGCCCAAATTGCCCAACTGCCATTAGAATTAGCCAAATAGGAGAAGCCAACAACGAAATCACGTAAGTATCTATTATTACAAACATTTAAATAGTATATTTTGATTTAATAATAGCAACCACCAAATTATCCTTAAAATACATTCATAAACTTGATCAGTAGCACGTAACTTGCCGTGGTAGCTTCCACTAGTTTGTCTATGTGAGACAACAAAAAGGAATTTTATTGGACAGATTTAAATCCGTAAGGTCAATGCATTTCCGTTCCTTCTTTTGGCCACATCACCACGTTAACAGGCCACTGGCCATATTAGATATCAAATCTTTCGAACTAATCACACGCGTAAATGACATCGGTAGACGTACAACCAGAAGGAAAAAGCATAGAAAATATTGAGAAAATTATGAGAATAGCTCTAAAGCAGGCCCTACGAACAGCGATATGAAGCCATTGTAGAACTCACTTCAAAGGAACTGAAATCATTTATAAAAAGAAGAAGAAATTAAGATGTAAGATGTTCTTTGTTTTATACCAGGAGACCGTGGTTGATGAAAAAAACCGATAACAATAAAGGTAAATTTGTGGGGGAAAAAATTGGTATGTCGATTAATTATTAGTTATTAGTTTTTTGTACATGGTATGATCATTTTTTTTTTTTGTATAACATAGCATGGCGATCTAAAAAGTAGAAGTTATTTATGTGTGTCTGTCTGTGCCAGGATTCCAATATTTTGAGATCGGTTTACGAAAGAGAAGAGAGATCTGTGTGTGGGGGGGGGGGGCTACAGTAGCACAATCCTGTTTTAAAAATCAAGTACACTGGCACCATCAGTTTCGAGGTTTTCTTTGGGCTCCTACCAAAACTTTCCCAGCTAAGGCCTCTTAGAAAAACCCTTTTGGTCAACATTATTGCTTTTAAAAAACTCGTAGTTTCTTGGATCCGAGATAAAATGAGATCAACTTAGTTATTAAAACTGGATGTACTGTTAACTTTGTGTAAACGCACTGGATTGAATATTTTAATTCGTGCTTCTATTCTTTTGACGAACATACTCATATGCTATATCGTATATATATACATTGATTCAAGGGGTGTATAAACACCAAATATTTAGAAGAATTAGAGATTTAGTGAACTTTAATGAGTTTTTGGTGAATTAAAATAGTTGTTATGAAGTTTTAAAATCATTAAAGTAAAGAAAAACAATTAGATCAAGATCAATAAACATACCATAGCAGCTTTAACTGGTTTTATCCTTGGAGTTTAAATCCATGTATTGACATTTTCTTTTTTTTCAAAAGACAAATTAATTGACGAAACAAGCATTTACATAATTTTAATTAGCTAAACTCACCGATCGAGGGGGTCTACATTTGGACACACACACGAATCAGACTCGGCTATTTCCAATTAATGAAATAAAGAGAAGAAAAAAAAAAACATTAATCGATCTCAGGGATGCTTTGTAACGCAGGTCTCCACGGCTGTTGGTGATGATTAGAAAGATCGGCGGCGAATCCGATTTGATCTCCGCCGTCAAAAACTAACTTGGAAAGAATCTCCTCCACCGTCAAACCCTTCATATCAATGTCTCTCATGAGATCTTCAAACTCCTTCCTCGTCATCTTTATCTTAATCTCTCTTTTCCCACAAGACGGTGGCGAGCTCGATGACATCACGTTATTTGTTTCACCGAGCAGCTTCTCTCCGTCGTCGTCGTCGTGGAACACGGTGGACCTTCTTGTTCTTCTCCTCTTGCTAAATAATCCCCAGTCGTCTCCGGAACATGACGTCGTCGTTTTGTTTGTTACGCATACGCAGTTTCCCATTTTTGTTTTATATTATAATTTATTTTGTCGATTGAGTTTGTTGAGATTCAGAACTCAAGAGTGAATCTAGGTATTTATAGTGTCTTAAAGACGTAAATGGATAAAGGGATCGAGGAAAGGGATTAGATTTGTACGGCCATGTCGGGAGGACAAAGGTTGATTAGTCATTACGTAGAAATAGTCTTTTTTTTCAAAGTTACGTTGTAATTAGTTGACCAATGTTGTTTCATCCTCATCCACTCGTTGTAACTGATTTAGTTGAAAAGAAAAAAAATGTCAACAACTGATTTACTTCAATTAAACTTTCATTGAAACTCTGTTATATCTGCACATTCCCTCATATACAATCTCTATTTTAAATTAGTGGGTGACATTTATTTATTAAAAAAAATATATATAGTTGATGACATTGACATTTAAACCCTACCGTTGATATTTTCAAAATATCAACCCGCAAGAGACAAATATCAAAATACCCAAAGTACCAACTGCTCATGTATTAACTTACAATATTTATGTTGGAGACCATCTATTTTACCAAATTATTATTTGACGTTTTGGTTAGATTTTATACTGCATAATTCGAAATCAGAACATTTTCTTATTTGGTAATATTTTTTAACGAATACTATTAATTTGTAATTTTTTTAACAATACTCCCTTTGTCCCATAATATAAGCTGTTTTAGCTTATAAATTTTGTCCCACAATATAAGTAGTTTTGACATTTCAATACACTTTTACTTTATGGAAAACTGTATGACCACTTATATTTTGCGGTTGTTTTTTATGATTGATTGAATTATATTTAATTTATATATTAAATAATACTTTTTAAAACAAAATTATTTTTTTAATTCTTGTGTTTAACCTTAAACAGCTTATAATATATGAGAGAGGGAGTATATAGTTAACTTTGGAAAAGAAGTAGAATTTATAAGAAGAAATATATGGTGAAATGGTGAAGTTGATGGGAGTGGACTAAAAGTTATATGTTGAAATAGTTGTCTATTGTGTCGGCCGTTCGCTTCCAAAGACCAGCAACTTGCAAGCAATGATTTAAGTTTTTCTTTTTTTGGTAAATATATATCATTTTAATCAACGTAAACACTTTTCGCTGTTAGATGGAGTAGCATATAAATCTTTTTTTTCCTACGTGGTGCAAAATATTTCACGTGCTTAAAAGAAATCAGTAAGGAAATAGCGTCTATAAGTAGGTAAAACAAACAAATAGTTGATTTTTCTTTTAATTCCTTTTTTGACTCGAAATAATATTTTTCTAAAGAGAGGATTGTGTGAACTGTGAAGTGTCAGCTATTGCATTTGCATGGGAAGGGAATCACTTTTGACGTTTTTCTTATCTAATTGTACGTTCTTTGTCTTTTCGTTCATCAATCTTTTCATAATTCACGTTTACTAATTGTTTAAGGGATATTTGCCATTGTACGTGTACCTTGATCTCTTTGCAGTGTATGAATAGAATCTGGTGAATTGGTGATCAATAATTACAAAATGGAATCAATAGTGTATATTACAAAATGGATTAAAACAATTGACTAGATTCCATTTTCTATCTCCTTTTTCCTAAGCTATGATTCTTATGATTAGGGAAAATGGAATAGATTTTAATTATATAAAAGAAAGAAATGTAGGTTGAGGGTTATACTATTACTTGATTTAATTAACTAAACGGGAACGAACAGTTCCAACCTCAGGTTGAAGAAAAGCTTAACTGAATAAATTGTGCTTAGATTCTAGTTCAGTTTTCAGTGTGAGAATGTGAGTTTAGTTGGTTTAATACATAAAAATAGCAATCGCAGCTCGCAGGACTTTCTAATAAAAACTTGTGTGCATTTCTTTTAAAGGCCCAAATTGAGTAACTGGAAGAGGCCTGGTTTGCCAATGGGTGGAAGTGGTACAAGTTATTTGGACATTTTGTGTGTGTGAGTAACCCATTAAAATTTATAACGTTTTTGATTTGATATTATTGCTGAATCCAACGTATTACATAAAAAAAATTCAAGAAAGGAAGACCAGCTAAAACATATGTAGTTAACTAATAAAGAGAGCCAATACAATCAAAATAAACCTCGAACAGAGAAGGGAGGTTTGCATTCCTAAGCATCCAGTCGACGGCAGTACGAAGTGATGAAGCGGGAGAAGCGACGGTTGTGAAGATGTGAGCATTGCATTCCTTCCATATAAAGTAGATAAGAGCCTGCTTGATGATTCCCCCAAACAACATATGGTGTGATATAACATTTTATCATTGCTTACTAAACAAAGAAATTTGTTTTTCCTTTGCATCTTTTATAAACAATCTGGTTTCTATCGTTACCTATAAGTCATCTCATTTTATTTGTTGCCGTTGCCAAAACCACGTAAGTATGCATTTGTTTTTTTTGGAACTTCTATTCGTTTTCTCATATCAGTCACTACACGTGTACCATACATATACCATATTATATAACACACGCGAAATTATTAAAGATTTTGAGCGTACACAAAAGTTGGAGATATATTAAAGTATTGATCTTCTTATAATAAATCAGTCAGTCATATAAAAAATATCAGTGATATGTACAATGATTCAGACATGTTTCGTTGTACTTGGATCCATGACCCCATGTCTAAACCTAACGGTCAGTGGCGGAGCCACATGGTGTAAGAGGGGGGCAGATGCCCCTAATGCCTTTTGTGAAATTCATGTAAATTATATAGAATTTTTTGATAATTGCCCCTTTGTTTTATGTAATTTTCCCCCATAGTTTTTACATTATTTTATGAGTACCCCCTATAAAAATATTTTCTGCCTCCGCCACTGCTGTTAGAGGAGAAATTAGCACATTTCCCTGAGCCCGTCATCATTAGTAAAGTCACAAAGCCCAATCCGATTTTAGGCCTAACATCTTCAAGAAAAAGGCAAGACTTGAAGAGAAAGGCACAATCCATGGAGAAATGTAAATAAATCTTCATGCCGACTTAAAGAATGGAAGAAAGATCCAAAAACAAGAGGGAAGTTTTCCATCTCGCCTGAAGGAGAATATTCATCATTCGGCCGACTTATCAACATATATATTGAAGACCCCCCATTGGAGAAGGGATCCGAAATCATCATCTAGAATCACTAGGCTTTCACATTAGCTTTTACTCTATCCTCTTGTTCATCACATAATCTCGCTAGGCTTGTTAGCGAGATTGCTCTCTTGTAATTTCTTGATAATCTAAGAGTCGAATTAAGCGTTCCAGTTTCCTAAACTCACATCTTAGATAGCCCGTCTTGACGAGTGCTATCTCGGATTCAACAATTGGCGCCCACCGTGGGGCTGGAAACGCTTCTCGCTATTCATCTCGAAGATATCTAGATTTTCACGAACTAGCAACGATGGTGAACTCGAAAGAGAACACTCCCACCGGGAGCCCGTCTCCCTCAGAAGAAAACTTAAGCGACAGTCTACCAGCACGATAGACAAGTCGCTACCCGCTGAAGGTAGGGACAAGCCTGCCCTACAAGAAACCCATCTTTCTCGCCACAGAGATCCGTCTCGCCGCGAAGATCGACTTCGCCGCAACGATCCCCTCCGCCAAGAAAGGACGAGAGCCCCCCTCCGTCCGCACCACGCCGCTCGAGAAAATCTTCCTCGAGCGACAAACCCCGCAGCTCGAAGAAATCCTCCTCGAGCGAGAAGATCCTCAAACTCATGGAGAATCTCGTCAAGCCACTCGCCGACGGTTTCGAGTCAATGCGAGCACAGCAGAAAAAGACTCAGGAACAGGTGGAAGCCCTAGCACGAGAAGACGATGAAGATCCGTCAAGTCCCACTGACGGAACAACCCCCGTCCCGCGCACTTCAGGCGACTTACCACCCAAGAACTCGAACGGATGAATCGTCGCCTCGACGAGGTCGATTCGAAAGTTCATCGCGCCACCAGCTCAGCTCCGGAATTGACGAAAGCACTCGCCGACACCCGAAGAAGCCCGCTCACCCGCAGGCTCCGCCAGATTGAACTACACGAAAGAGTTCGACTCAAAATCGACTCTTACACCGGCGAAGAAGACCCCAAGAAGTGGCTAACCGCGTTCAACCTCGCCATGAGGAGGGAGAAATACAAATCTTACGATGAAAGGGAGGCCAACTACTGTCAAGTATTCGTCGAGCACATGGCGAAAGATGCCTTGACCTGGTTCTCTAACCTCCCCGCCGAGTCGATCGATAACTTCGACGACCTAACCAATGCTTTTCTGAAGCATTACTCCATGCACATGACCCGAATCACTCGGAACATGTTCACCACAACGCAAACCCAAGGCGAACCATTGCGCAGCTTTATGGAAAGGTTCAAACAAGCAGCTCGCGATACTGGCGACATGCCCGATAGCGTCCCGCTGGAAGCACTCCGCAACGGCCTCTGGTACGACTCCAAGTTTAAGGAGGATTTGTCACTAAAACCCCCTGCGACTCTGGAGGACGCGTTCCACCGCTCTCGGAACTACATCTTCCTCGAGGAAGACCAGCGCTTCTACGCCGAGAAGCATGGAGATAGGAGGGCAACCTCGTCGAAACCCAGAGAGAACCCATGGAGGCGCGAAGAAGACACGATCCGAAGAGGTCTCTCCTCGCAGCGTTCGCAGCAGCCGACGATGAGTCCGAGCAAGAACACGCAGCGGCCGTTTCGATGCCACAAGACATCAACTCGCTCGGAGATGACAACGATACCAAAGCTTTCTGCAAGTTCCACGGGAGAACTGGCCACGCCACTGAAAACTGCAAACACCTAATGAGCAACCTCATGCGCATGTACCATCGAGGAGAAATCCCGCCAATGGACGGCGATAGGTCCCAAGGAAAAAGCTTCCCGCCGAGACCACCAAAATCTGGGCAACAGGAGAAGCGCGGACGACAACCCCGTCCGAGGAAGGATGCAGAAAAGGCGGAAGCCCCGCCCTTGGGAAGAGGAATCGTGACGACCACGACGACCTACCCCACCACCGAAGCGACAAGTCAGCATGATCATGGGAGGCCTCCTGGATAACGACGATTCCATATCGGCGATCAAGGAATACGAGCGAAAGGCCGTCGCGGCACAACGCTACCCATATCCATAAAGGGATCCCTACAATCTCCTTTATGGATAAGGACGCAAGCGGATTAGATATCCCCCACCTCGACCCCTCGTGGTCACGTTGCAGATTCACGACTGTGACGTCGCAAAGGTTCTAATTGATACTGGGAGCACGGTGAACCTCATCTTCCTAGAGACACTGGATCGCATGGGAGTGGAACAGGAATCCATCAAACCCACATCCCGTCCCCTCACCGGCTTCACCGCCGAATACACCTACAGTTGGAACAGTTCGGCTCCCCGTTTATGTCGGCGGAATTTCGAAGCTCCTGAAGTTCATTGTCATGGACAAACCGGCCATCTACAACGCAATACTGGCACCCCCTGGCTCCACGAATGAAGGCCGTCGTCTCGACTTTCCACCAGTGCGTGAAATTCCCAACGCCATCCGGAATTTACACCTTGCGTGGGAGATCAAAGAGTGACGCGATCATGCTTCCTTCGCGAGCGCAAGCTCCGCACCGCATCATCCTTTATGATAGCCGAACCCTCAAACCAACCACCTCGCGAAGATCCGAGCCAGTATTGTACGACGAGACCGACGGACTCGATACAACTGGATACATCGCCACGACGCTGGGAGAAGCACCGCCATTTCCGCAAGCAAACGCCGAACCCCCATGGAAAGCCGACTTAAGGTCCAGCCTTAACACCAAGAAACTCTCCAATCTGTTCAAGATAAAGCAGCTCGAGGACGAACCACTGCGGAGCTTCCTCGACAGATTCAAAAACGCCTCCTCGACCTTGACGAGACCCCGGGCGAGCCCCCAATCGCAGAAACAACGCTCATCCAAGCCATCCAATGTGGGCTTTGGTATCGATCTAAGTTTCGTGAAGACTTCTACATTCGATCCTTCCGAACACTGAAGGATGTCTTCCTTCGCGCTGAAAACTACATCTGCCTCGAGGAGGAATGTATATGCGCTCCGAAAAGGAACCGTCGAACCCGGTTGGAAACAAGAAAGAGGTCATCATCCCTCCGCCCGAAAAAACCACGCATAAGACGCCAAGATGCTATCACGAGTCATCCCCTTGCCGAGATGACTCCTGTCGCACGACGAGATCGGGAAGAATCTGGGGAATCATGCGAGGGCAGATCGCCATGCATCTCCGCAGTGTTCATTCTCGGATCAGGAGATATTCGAGATCATTGCCGATATCCGAAGGACCCCCTGACGAGCCGCCTCTCCGAAGTACCACTGAAGAAGCGCGTCTCGCTGCACCTAAACTTCTACGACGGCCGGGACGATCCCAAGCAATGGATCACGTCCTTCATGATAGCCATGAGAAGACAGAAGTACGCTTCGCCGGAAGAACAAACGCCCACTTCTGCCAAGCCCTCGCCGAGCACCTGCGGGCGATGCCCTAACATGGTTCGGCAACCTCCGGGCCGACTCCATCGACAGCTTCGACGATCTGGCAGCCGCCTTCCTAAAGCAACACCTCCGTTTCGCACTAGACGACCTCGTCTTTTGCAAAACCGACGATGATACGATCTATGGTCTCGGCAAATTCGGCAAATTGCGGCTCCGAGTCTATCAGCTGGAAGACAACCTAGGACCATTCCGCATCGCGAAAGTCGTCAAACCAGGAGTCTATCAGCTGGAAGACAACCTAGGCATCACTGATCGCCTCTGGAGCTCATCGGATCTGCGCAAGTTCCACGTAACGAACTACGAATGGCTTGATCCCGGCACGGGTACGTAGGCAGCCTTTTTAAGGCGCAACTATAATACTTAATAAAATTCTAAGTTTTATTAAGACCCTTTTTCTCGACAAGCGCGCTTCATAGGCAAAACTTGTCGACATACGCATGCACTGTTTGACGTCAAACCAAATATTGAGCAAACTCATTAAGCACTTGCACTTTGCCCACATGACACTTGCATGCACCCATTAAAAACATGGACTGATCACCCATTCACTAAGCCGAGAGCACGCACCTCGCACGGCTCTCAGTTCGTCGGACGAGCGAAAAACCGCTACCTCGTCACCCGTACGAAGCTTTGAAGTCGGAAGCATAAATCGAGTTTCTAGAGCTCGTCGCTGAAAGTAGGCCTAACATCCTAAGCACACAGACCTAATACGCACCGGTCGGTGTCTCGAATGAGAAGGAAAATCTTCATCATTCGACCAGGACATCAGCACTATATATTGAAGACCCTCCCCATGGAGAAAGGGATCCAGAATCATCCAAAATCATCTAGAATCACTAGGCCTTCATACTAGCTTTTATTCCTTTCTCTTGTTCATCACCACGATCTCACTAGGCTTGTTAGCGAGATTGATCTCTTGTAATCTTCTTGATAATCTAAGAGTCAAATTCAGCATTCCAGTTTCCTAAACTCACATCTTTGATAGTCCGTCTTAATGAGTGTTATCTCGGATTCAACAACTGCTAACGGAGTTGAAATTTTCAAAAGTTTCTAAATTATGTATCAATCACTTCGACAATAGAGTATGAACATGTCACATGTTTATAATA